GACAAGCAAGGGGCAGCTTTCACAGAATTACGGCAGCGAATGCAAACAGCCACTGCTCTTGCTTAGTTTGACGAGGGCGTCATATACTGAAGGGTACGCAGATGCCGACAACATTGGACTTAGCACCCTCCTTGTACAACGACACAGCAGTGTTGAGCATGTCATAGCTTACGACAAGCATACGCTCTCTGGAGCCGAGGCCAACTGCTCTACTTCAAACAACGAATGCTACGCAGTCGTCTGGGCGGCGATAAAGTTCCGAGCATACCTCTCCGGCCGCCCTTCAAAGTGGTGACTGATCACCACTAACTATGCTGGCTAGCCAATCTCAGATATTCTTCTGACCATTTCGCCTGGAGAAGCGTCCGCTTGCGGGAGTTTGGTGTCACGATCGTCTACAGGTTTGGGCGCGAGCACAAAGACCCCTATGTGCTTTCTCGAGCACTTGAGGGGCATCACTGATGTTAGAGGATGCCGGTGTCTTTTTTGGAGCACTCAGTGATTATGACTTCATGTCAAGACAGCGAGCAGATCACGAATCGCGTCCTGTTGTTGATTACTTAGAAGGCCGAAATTTCCACATTATTCGGCACATTGCTCGCGAGCTGCCACCCTTTTGTCTCAGAAGGGGTATCCTTTCTGCGCTCGAGGTATACCGACAAAGCCTTCTTCCTCGTCGTCCATATAGCCGACATGCGTGATGACGTCTTCCTTGCGTGCCACTACAATCCCATGTCAGGACACTTGGGCTACTAGTGAACTCCTGCCACAGTGCGCCCCCAGTAGTACTTGCCATGACTATTTACGAGCGACGCCGCTACTTGCAATGCTGTTACGAGGATCAGAGTCACGAGATCCCAAACCATAAAACCCGTGGGCCTTCTCCTTCCAATTGCACCCTCTCGGACATCTTTCAAACATCTGGGAATTGGCCTGCTTGGCGTTGGAAACACATGTGGAACATTTGCGGTGTTTATAAAAGAAACACCGCGTGTGAACATGTCAACGCCTTAAGTAAGTCAACATTTCAGCAGTGCAGGATCTTCAGCGTGGTTGTCGCACTATCATTTTGCGAACTCAACACGCGCCTCTCAAAGGCGTGTTCGTGGGCCTTTGTCCTCTTTCGGGCAGGTTCTTTCGTTCCACCTGCAGCATGGAAATTCCACTCTCGAAGGAAGCAAGGGTCCCACGCAGCAATTTCGTGCTGCTCGTTCCGCTTCTGTCAATATTGCAATAGTAGCGACAGGTGGTCAACAGGGGCGCTCGCATCATGGCGGTAACGTGGCTGTTGATTGGACGCCGGTTGTGGCCCAAAGAACAAGTCAGATCCGAGAGTTGATAAACAAACAAAATTATATTCTCAATAATGGCAGATCAGAAACAATACACAAAAATGCACACTCCACAATAGTTGCATACAATATGTCACCAATCAAACCAATCAATCAACGTACTACACAATACAATCAGCCACACTTGAAACAACGGACACGGACAACAATACGCACTACAATGCTGTCGCATGCATTGAACAACCAAGACACTTAAAGACTAAAGAGACAGAAAACCTATTCAGTGCAAAGTTCTCGGAACCAAAGTCGAGATGATACTCTTCCTAGAATCACTCACCCAAAGTCCAGCGTTGTTGTCGTTCCGCAGCCCTCGAAGTTTCTCTTCCAGGAAACCTCGCGCCTTCAATTGGCCACTCTCCAAACTTCAACTTCTTCGCCGGAACACGTCGGCTTCACACCCGCAGCTGTTGCCACGGGTCTTCGCTCGATAGCGGTAAACACACGCTCTTGCCTGTAGCCCGAGCCTTCACCCCTCAGGTGGCAATCCTCTTCATCTCCGGCTTCGTCCCTACGGACCAAAACCTTCGCCGACTACACGGCGGAATCCCTACGCGCTCTGGCGTTAACTTCCGTCTCCTCCTGTTTTCTCGTCTCGGCTGCTCGATTAAATACCTTCCGCGCCACCTTCCAGAAAGTTCTCCTCATTTCGTCGGCGCGATGCGCAACGAAGGCTGGGGAGAGGCGCGAGACGGTTCGACTGCCCTCCGCGTCGGATGACTCATCTCGGCGTGGCCACGCCTCCTTCGTTCTAGAAAAATCGCGGGCTTGCTCGGCCGCCGTTGTGGGGTGAGGAGGTTCGTCGATGAAGCCACGCTTCTGCGGGGAGAGCGCGCACCCGGGGAGCCTTGGCCGTTTGATTTCTTTTTCTTTCCCTTTTTTTTTCTTTTGACTTCGCGGCGTTTCCCCCGCCCGTTGTCGCAAGAATTTGGCGGCGCGCCCGTTTTTAGCGCTCGTTTTGTGACATGGGTACGTTGTGAGCGCGGTGAAATTGAATGCGATATATAGCAGCCACGTGATGATATCACTTTTACTTCTGCGTGCGTGTGTGCAATATCTGCCCGATAAATCTGACAGATGAATCGTGACTCTGACTGGCGCTGCGTTGTGAGCAGCAATGCTCCTCAACATCGAAAATCACATAATGACAGCGCATTGTTACGTTTATGACGACAGTATTGCGTTGTTTTGTTCATTGTGTTGGTTAGTTCAAGAAGTGGCTCAGCCAGAACTTGCGTGTTCTCTTTCAAGTGGCGTTCGCGAAGTTCTAACACACGAAAACTATGCGGGTTTGATCACCCCCTTTGAAGACTACTGACTATATGCTTGTAAGAGAAAAATATAACTACGAGAACTGTAGATGTATGGAATCACATAGTGAGTACCAGCAACCGCAAGAAAAATAGGATGCCCCTGTACTTGTGCACGCGCAAACAGGAAAATACAAAATATTCATAGCATATGCATGGCGTGAATGATGATGAATGGGGCAAAGTGTCCATCTGTCTGTCTGTCTGTCTGTCTGTCTGTCTGTCTGTCCGTCCGTCCGTCCGTCCGTCCGTCCGTCTATCCGTCTGTCCGCCCGTCCGTCCGTCCGTCCGTCCGTCAACTATACAAAATTGTTAACTATACGAAAACCACTAACGCCATCTAGTGATATTATATACAAGGGCATATACACACAACGTCATCTAGTGAGTAATTTTTAAAACTATCTAGAAGTGGCTACATACTGCTACTACTACTACTACTACTACTACTACTACTACTACTACTACTACTACTACTACTACTACTACTACTACTACTACTACAAAGGAGGGAACGACCCACACCCTAAAGAGCCTCGCCCCTAATAACACACACACACACACACACACACACACACACACACACACACACACACGAAAAAACTACTGAACCAAAATCATCCTCGGAGAAGGCACAAAAGCATAAGGACTTCTATCTGTATAGTACGGCTTGAGTCGTAGGACAAGCACGGTTTCGGGCCGAATTAAGTTGTCGACGTGAAGACACTATACATCATCCGGAAATACTTCGTAAAATAGCTCACTGACAAATTGGAAAACCTTGTATGGTCAGAAATGACGGCTCAGAAGTTTTTCAGAAACGCCTGGTCGTCGGATTGGAGTTCATACTAACACTCGGTCATTGGGGTGCGTGGTGACTCACATTACGATGGTGAAGGTTGTAACATCCTGAAACAGCACCTTGTTCGTGACTGATGTTTATCGCTATTATTGCACAAAAAGCATAGCACCAAGCATGCTTGCATCGTGTTGCCTTCGTAAACACGGCGCAAAGGTGGAAATCACCTTGTTTCCTGTGCTGCTTTATTGTACGCAAACTTGATTTATGGCAAAAATCGACCAGGTTTTCTGCTGTTCGTCCATGTAGATTGACAGAATGTCTCTTAAGGTCTTATGGAGGCTCTGCGTCGGTCAGTTTGTTTGTGGACAGCAGGTCGTTGTTCTTCGGTTATAATTATCTATGCAGCTTGGTATGAAAATCCCATCATTTGTGCTGCAAATGGTGTCCCTCTCATCGCGATCACAGATGACGGTGTGCCATGCCGTAGGCCCATGGCTTACATGAAGAACTTCGCGACTTCAGACCCCATGCCACCTCTGTCTCGGCATAACGAGTTTGCACTGTAATATATCTTTCCAATAGATCAGAAAGGGAAGCGCCCTAGTATACCATTTTTTATCTGTGCTGCTATCACGCCCTCCCAAATATCTCCTTGCTATGGCCGCTGCATAGCGAGCTCGTAGGAAACTAGTCTTCCAGAGAAGCTCAGGGCATCCTGCATACCACCGTATATATCATTTCAAAGAGCGGTACCGCTCTTTTTATCGCTGCGTGTGAGTGCTACAACAGTCCCCAGAATAGAAAGCTAATACGTAATATATTTCGCGTGTTGTAATAAGATGTGCGTGTTGAGCGCGACGACCCTTTGCGGAACGGGGAACTATGTAGTTTGGAGTTGCCGCGGTCGCCCTGACGGCATAAGCGTGCATATCCCAGCCACTCCCGCTGACGTGTACTCCGCTTTGCAGAGCTTCTCTCTGTTTTCCAGAGTCTTCCTGTGAAAGTAGCCTCAAGGGATAAAGTGAACTACACTGCAGTTACGGGTGCGATGGCTGCTCGAGCTGTTCGTGCCAAAATCAAGCACGGGAACGGCGCACGTGCTAGCGCTCGCAGCTGTACTGCAGCTGTACGTACACTGCGGCCGGTCGGGTCTGCGCGAGCGGCTCAGTTATGTCGCGACTCCCGGCAACGGGACCTTTTTTTGGCGCGCCACTTATGCAGCACTGGTCTCCCAATAGAGTCAATTTTTTCACTCTATTTTTGATAACGTGAGTATCGGTCGGATTGCAGTTTGAGGCAACGTGTGTTGCCGCTCGTATGCCCGCAATTGTGCTATCGGCGTGGAACGAAACCTCAGCAGTGGTGTAGAGCGCCACCGTCCAGTCATGCGGGATGCGCGCATTTGTGAATGGTCACCACTGGAGTGTGAATACTTGCCGCTATTCGGGTTTTATTCGACGCCGATAGATGCACGCAGTAAGAAAAGTTACGCGTTCTGTGTGATGGACATTGTGGAATTAATGGCTTCTCTCTCCGCAGCCTCACCTGTCTACCATTAAGCTCATCTCGAAAATTGGCTACAGCGTATCGTTGGCTGGCCTAATCGCTGCGTTCGTGATACTGGCGTCTATCAAGTAAGTCCCCTCTAAAAACCATGTTTTCACTCCACTGCACGCAAGTGTGTATTTGGTCGGGTAAATAGGAAAAATGTTGCGCTGACCGATGAAACGAAGGCTGAGGCGGGCATGAAAACGTTTTAAGTGTGTTTGGACAGCGTATACACTTCTGGAAATAGCAGCTAATAAGGCTTTCTCAGGTTCGTTAACTTAGACTGACTGTTTTGCATGCGTTATGCCTTGCATGACATCCCCATTTATAGCAAGAAAGACAATCTACAGCACATTAATGTAAGCAAAGGGCTGTGAAAGAGACGTGAGGGTGAGGAATAGGAAAGGAGCAAGGGAGACGGTATAGAATAGCGTTGTCATGTATGACATGACATAGGAAAAAAGCACGGGCAGCACAGTTATCTATAACAAGGCCATGTATTGTAAGAGAGCAGGAAAAAGTTGCGACGCTGAGGAGGAGGGAAGAAGGGGAAAGGCTGCCACTGCATCACAAACTAAGGTTTCCTTTCTCGTCATGAACGCCGAGCACGAGCAGGCTGCACGTTTGCCCATGAACGCTGACGTCGCTGACGGACGTGCCAGTCTCTGCCTCGCACGTCATACAGCTTTCGCGTGGAGTACAACTGCGCACATTTTATAGCGAGAACAGTTTCGTCTCCGTAAACTAAGGGCGCTATTCTAGACACTGTCTAATTCTGCCATATTGTCAAATTTTGTAATGACGGTGTTTTAAGCCAATCGGAGAGGTCGTAGCAGCTCACTTGGCCAATTAGCATCAATCAATGACGGAATCTGACAACATGGCGAAATTCGACAATGTCCAGAATAGCACCCTAAAGCTCCTTTGCATGTAAATGCGTGCGTTCCTTGCGTTTTCACATCAGACGCAGAGGAAGAGCATTCGGAGAAGTCGATAGACGAGCCGAAGAACGGATTCGCGATACACATCTGCACAACTGCACAGTTACAACTAAATGTCAACGTGTGGGTGGCTTTGGGGACCTCTAACAAGTGCAGGCTTATTTTTTTGTGTGTGTGTGATCAGACGTAGAGAGTAAATATCAGTATTCGGTTCGATTAAAAAAATAAATAAAGCGTCAATGCCCCATGCTGGATTACAAGGCGCCTGCGAACAATTGGAACACGCTCTCACGCGTTCCCACGAAAGGTGAAGTTGCAGCTGCTTTGCACTTCACATAAACACTTCGCCTGACGTCGAACGGCCATTCATTCTCCCCGCGTGCGTTTTTCGCGTACATAAAAGGCAAGCCCGTCTAGAAACTCATTCATTTTCATTCTTAGCCAGCCATGGGTAGACCACGGTAATTAAGAACACCAGAGGAACAGCGTGAATACAGCGCGCTATAAAAGTAACAAGTTCATCTGCTGAAAATCATCGTGGAAACAATCAACGTTTATACTCGTGGACAACTTTTCTTGGTAAGGAAGGGCAAGCTACGGGGGGTGGAGCTTGTGCACATGTACCACCACGCGAAGTAATCCGGTATGACATGCGTGCCGTACTACTGTGAGAAGTGGTGGATGTGTGCGATCAGCGTATCATATCGACGCAGACGCTGCTTCGCGTTCTGAGTCCGTAAAGGCGCCCCTTTCTCGCGCGTTCAGAAACGCGAAATAGTAACGAATAAATTCGAACAAATATGATTATGTTACCGGTGTGCGCTGTGTTCTTTGTCGGGGAACTAGATACCAAAACTGCATGCAGTATTTTTTTTTTTTCACTTCTCACGTTGGAAATAAGGAAACATTTGTGGGACTGCATTATTTAGCGGAAGGATGTGCGTGATTTGGCTCTGTGGCATTCACTGCATCGCCAAGAAAAAGTTGTCCGCTAGTATAGACCTTTTCACTCAAGGCTACCTAAATGCCGCAATAGTCCTCTTTGGGCTGTTGTTAGTGCGCGTGGCCCCACCACCCAAAAAATGCACTGCTGAGGCTGTGACGTCGGCTTTTGTACTCTCGTGCAACAGCCCGGAATGGAGAAAATTCTCCTCGCCGTAAAAAAGGTCCATAGCACAGCTGCCAGAAATTTATCACAACCACTATTCCTCTATACTAATAACAAATGATAGCTCGACCCCTCCCCCCGCCACACGATGTGTAGTGTTGGATATAGCCTCGCTAGACAGTCAGGTGCGCAATGTGGCATGGCGCCCAATTTTCTTGAACATGAAGCAGGTTAATGCCAGGGTCCACCAAGACTTCAGCGACGTATTTCTGTCACGAATATGACAATCATAAAATGGACGCCAACGGATGAGAATGAAAAAAAAAAACAGGAAGACAGAGTTCCACTGCCGGTGATTGAATATTTACGACATCGCGATCCACGATGATAAGCATCCATTACTCTACCAACTAATGTATACAGAAGCACTTGCCCGACACTATATACACAAATTTGTGTTTCACAAATCCCTCTCGTAGGATGCTCTCTGTTGGTGGGCCTAGTCGAGGTGGGGTGGTGCCACTGTTTGTGATGGGTGCAGTGAAATAATGCGTCATAGTACTAATATTATGGAACGATTCGGCGTTGATGCAGTAATAGCAAGGCCTCCGCGATCGTGCGCAATCTCAGAGGTTTCTTGTAGTTCAGTTATCTCATTAGTTCATGAACATACTCGTTGAGAAAGATTTGAAAAAAATACATAGGACGAAGACGATCATGTGTGGGCCGGGTCCCTAGTGAAGCATGCCGGTCCTGCTCCTTCGGAATAAAACATCAGTTAAGCGCTCAGCCTTCTGTTTATTTCTCTTCCTTTTGTCACTGTCTGTGTAAGTTTTATTACTTCTAACATGCCATACCAACTGGCCTACCAATTCATCCTCGATAAGATACAAAAAAGCGGTATTTCCGTTGGTTTCTCGGTGAGTAAATGCTGTTTTAGCTTCTTTCAGTGCTGAAAAAAGTTAAGAACCTTCTGTAAAGTGACTGTTGTTGTGTCTATTTATAAACAAATGATTGTATTCACCACGAGAATAAATTAAGAAAATGCCTAAGCAATGTGTTCTGCCGGAATCCCGTATAATTCGGAAAAGTTTGCATTGGGCGAACAAGGATTTTCGTGAATGAAACAAAAAAGGCACATTGTACTCTAGATAAGAAAAAGTTGGCTTGCTGCCCTCTGGACCACGTGTGAGTGAATGCAGAAATATCCTTACTGTTATAATGTAAGTAAACAGTCGGGTAAAGGTAAACGAGATGTACTCTGTGCAGAAAAGACATTTTCTGACGAAAAGGCATGCACGGGATCTGTATCTGTGGTAAAGATATTTCTTACCTGCAGTGATTTAAATAAGGCATGTAGATTGTGGTGTACACATGGCTAATCCACTCTCACGTGACATGACTTTGCATATGAAGCGTGGCGTTATAAAATTTACTTTACTGAAAGTTGAGCACCCTCTGTCCCTTCAGATCATATTTTTTGCTGCAAGTTGAAGCAAATATATTTTTTCAGAGCAATTTAAGTTCGGATTAATTTATGGCTGCTTATACTCGATGAAACTTCAAGGAACACTACAAGCAAAACTATTTTTGAGTATTAGTGAACTACAATTTCACAATCCCAAAAGCACCACTAATACCGCAGCACGACGTTTTTAGTAAGCGAAAAAACGCACAAGAAGAAAATGCGGGTGAAGACGCCACCTTCACATTCCCGCACCAAACCTCATGACGTCATAGATTTCGACAGTGTGTACTGTGTCCTACGTAGCTTCTAGTCGATAAAAATGAATTTATTGTCATCTCTGGGTGCCCTAGACTTAACATACAAAGTTTTAGAAAGAATTATTTCAGCCAATGTGACGAAAATACCAAAAATAAATATTGCGATTTTCAGCGTCACGCGCACAGTTTCCAGCGCGAAATTTAAAAATGAAACACGAACATTGATTTTCTCCTCTAATAATGAACTTATAGTAGCGAGACATATGGTATTAGAGTTCTCAGGGCGCAGTTTGTCGATCTAAATGGAGCCATTGTTTCTTTTGAGTGTCCCTTTAATGAGAGGGATACTGCTACAAGCGCTTTGAAACCTATTACTATGTTCCAGGCGGCTGCGGTGCCCACGTAACAGCCTGCACATGCATCTCTTCGTGTCCTTCATCCTGCGGGCGCTCGCTTTCCTCCTCAAGGACGCACTGTTTATCGAGGGCGTCGGACTGACCGGAAACGTCGACTTCACCAAAGAGGTAAGGGAAAACTTTATCAGACTTATCCAGTGCACATTTCCGTGACAGTACGGCTATTTTAATATTTATCCAGTGCACATTCCCGTGACATGCACGTCTGTTTTAAGACTTATCTGGTGCGCGTTTCCGTGACATGTACAGCTGTTTTAAGACTTATAAGATAGCCATTTTCGTGACATCTACGGCTGTTTTAAGACTTATTCGGTGCACTGTTTCCGTGACGTGTACGGCTCTTTTAAGAGTTATCCGGTGCACATTCCCGTGACATGCACGACTTCAAGACCAATCTTGTGCACATTCCCCTGGCATGTACGGCTGTTTTAGCATGTCACCCTCTATAATTCGACGTCGAAGGCCAGCGGTCAAAACAGCTTACCTGCAATAAATCCGTGGTTGTAATAACAAAAGGACAGAGTGTTTTCACTACGACATGAATTACGTGGACATGCCATGCGTATTTTGTTTGTGGCACGAGCTCCGTCTGACACTATTGGCCATCTTCCGTGATCACCCTGGCTTGAGCCGTTTCGACGTTAGGCTGTGTCATAAATTAAGGTTACTGCATTTCATTACATAAATTATTGTGCATGGCGATCACATCTAAAAGAACCCGTCGAACAGGACTCGTGGCATCTGATGGATCAGATCTCAACCACGCGCCTATTCGACTTGGACGGAATACAGTGATAATTCGAAACCAGTGCGTAACACTCCGGCCAAAGTACCCGGCGCGGTGGTCTAGTAAAAAGGACGAAAAATGACGTGGTGGTTTAGTGGTTATGACGCTCAACTGCTGACACGCAGTTTGCACGACCGAATCCCGGCCGCGGTGGCCGCGGAAGTGCTCGAGGCCCCTCTTCTTCGATTTAGGTGCACGTCATGAAATCCTGTATGGCTGAAATTTCCGGGAGCCTCCACTATGACATCTCTCATATTTCGCGTTTTTCTTTTTGTTTATTTTTTAATTAAAACTACTACAAGTATTATACATGCGGTACAGAGCAAGAAGTTCACACACAGCACCATGTTTGTAGCTTCCTGCTGTATCCAGTGTTAATTCATTCATTCATTCATTCACTCTTTATTCAGACAAAAACAATGATTGCCTAGGTTGAAAGGACTAAAGGCAGATTACCTCTGCCTGACTAAAGTCCCTCCACCCATACATTTGCTAAGGTGAAGTGGAACAAAGGATACAAATTTCATTCTGCTTTTGAATGAGGGGACACAAATTTCATATTCAACAAGTATAACAGATGTCGACACATACGTTTTAAAATAACACAATAAATGTAATATGCTGTTTTACGATTATCATAGACTTATAATTATTCATAATTATACCATTATCATTCTGACTACCACTGCCTGGGTCATTATGGAAATGATCCAGGCAAAACAAAAATTAAGAGACTTCGTAAACAGATGCAAGGAAGCGTCATCTTTTGAATTCTTAACGCTAAGGCAGACTTTACCTGCAAAAACCTGTGTATAGACCATCATTTCTCAGCTAGTCTTGCCGACTTCATTAAGAGCGACAGCCAAAAGGTCCGGCGTCATCTAAAAGTACACAAAAAGTTATATTGCGAGGTAAGCACCTTGCCCAAGCTTTCCTTACACCATTCATGCATATCAGCTGAATCACCTTGATTTGTCATGTGGCCTTTTACGGGGAGAGCCGTTATAAGATCAGAACTATAGGGTCGTTTTTGGCAACGTAGTTTTCTGTCACCGCCTCCGCCCTTTCCGCTGTCCGTAGCCACCCTCATGCCAAAATAAAAAAAACACTAAATAACTAAAAAACACCAAGAACACAATGCGATTTAAATCCAGGCACCTTGAGTGTCAGTTTAGTACTCAACCACTTCGTCACGCCGGTGCTTGAACTCCCCTTGCAAGCTTAACCTATAGGCAGGTTTCATGTCGGGAAAAGAATCACCTTAATGTGAATAATAAAGCCTTATAGCAAGGGGACAATTAGACATCACACAATGCAAGTTTTCATAACGAGTGGGTCGTCGAAAGCAGCAACCCATTACAAAATACTCGGGCATAATTATTCATCGTTGTCAACCGTAGCTTCAAAAACTGCACTAAACTCCTTTAAGTGTCTAGCGGGTACCACTCTTCTCCTAAGAATGACTACGAATGGCATAGTGAATGCCATTCTTCCGCGTTGTCACCGGGATATCTGTTCTGCTGTAGAAAGATTCTTAATCGAATGAAGGAGGTTTTGATTGCAAATCTCTCAAAAAGTAATATTTATTTTTCTTCCAACCATTTTATAGTTCATTAGACTTTGAAGTAATATGTGATTCCGTATATATAATTACTCGTTTCTAGGCCAATCCCCCAGAGTCGTGTGAGCATTGTATTTAGGCCATCGCCATCATCAACCACATCATTCTCTTCATCATCATCACGAACACCTTTCTATATACTGCACAAAAATTATGATCATTTATGGCGTAGTGGGTGCCTTGCAAGTGTGCTTGAAGCAGTTACCAAAAGAGTAGAAAGGTCGCTCTTCCAGAGCTTTCGCCGTGACTGTTCTGCACGTACGGCGTTGGCCTGGCGGTTTTTTGTCCCTAATTATAGCTTTCGGACGCCCGCCTGGTAGGCAAGTGCTCTGCTCGTTTACACTCACCCTGCGAGAAATTATGGCTGGGCTAGGGGGAGACCCGACATGCCTTGGGTTTCCCTATAGGGAAGCAATGGCATGATTTTTTCCCCGCTCTCTTCTCGATCAGCTCCGGCAACACGCCTTCACTAGCAATGGCGCGTTGCCGGAGGAAATTGTGGAGGCCACATGCAAGCTCGCTATCAGCATTCATTGGTGTAATGATGCAGTACGTCACTTCTCCGATTCCAAAGAGTGGCATCACTTCCTGCCAACCAAGGTCATCCTAAAAAAGAGAATATGCGAGAGATACAAGGCGCGCTAAAGAAGCCACGCGCGCGCGCTTCGGTAGCGCAATGGTTAAAGCAAGGAGAGGTCGTGTGTTAGACTCTCAGGTCATTTAAATCGTTGAAACATCTTATTGCAGTTTTTCTTTGTCATCTGTTCTTGCGTGTTTTTTTACCAACGTCACGTATGTTAAGGAAATGATATCAGTGAAGGGTCTTGGTGGATCCCAGCATAAAACATTTTTGCGGTTAAGTAAATATCGGCGCAAAAAACTTTCGTGGTGGAAGAATATCGCAGGCGCTACAATGCAATTGAAGTTGGGTATCGGTGATCATACAATGCCGTTGGTGTTGAAACTCGCCAAACATCTCCTAGGATTAAAGAGTGATAGGTTCTAGACGCTCTAGAACGATTTCAGGAGTACTCACGGATTGACCTCACTATGTGTGTTTTGTCTCATGAAGCGAGTGCTACAAACATTTTTAGAGGACGCCAGTACGAGCGGAGCTGTAGGCGTTTGTCGCACGTGGTTTTCCCCTTCTTTTGCACTTACATGGGCAAGGGGGCGGATGGAAAGAGGCAAAAAAATGCACACGTGCATCAGTGCACGTCATGGCCTTGAGCACTTTCTTTTTTTTCTCTCTTTAACGTCGATGTTCCTTTCTGTGTTATGACAAGCGGGCTGATTTAATCCTATATTCTACGCAGTTATAGCACAAGAGACTGCAGCACGGGCACGTCGCGTTGAAGCGAAAACTTTTTATCAAAATACCTCAGTAATGGTATACCTTTTGTAAGCCCGAAAGACACTTACGTAAAACTAGGACACAGGACAAGCGCTACTTTCAACTGAAACTTTAATAGAAAGAAACACCAAATACATAGGTGTAGTCACCAGAAATAAAAAGCATGAAATCTAGACAAGATAAAAAGAACAATCGAATAAAGGTCATACTATTCTTACATGAAGAGTTAGTTCGCACCAACGCGTGTCCAGAGCGCATGCGCCGGCAAGGGTCTAAGTGTAGACCTTGTTAGACATCACGCTGATATTGTCTGCAAAAGTGCCTAGGCGCGCACTATATGTGACTGCCTCATGAGCAAACTCCAAAAAGTGAAGTTCTTTGCTTGTCATGGCAATCTAGGGAGCGCTAAACACACTTAAATTATCCCTCTTAACTTCAGTTGCATCGACCTAGAGCCAATGTCTGAATTCCGATATAACACACATTGTTATCTAGAGATGGTTCGCACCCCCATTTTCGGCAGTGCAGAGCGATCGAGATGCCCATCCCCTCTTTTGCGCACCTCATTACGATACTCTATTAGACGGACATTGGTAGAGCGTGCCGTCTGCTCGACATAAACTCGACCACAGGAAAAGGTGCGCAATAAGGTGCATAAAGAAGCGGATGGGCTGCACCGTCGAGAATGTGGGGGCGAACCATTTCTAGATAACAGCGTGGTGTTGTATCGGTACTCAGCCATCAACTCTGGATTAATTGTCGAGGCTGCTGAGATTACAAGGGATGATTTAATTCTCGTTAGCGCTCCCTCAATTAATGACGTAGAATGTAAAATAGGAGAAACACAGGACAAGGGAAGGGACCGAGGAGATCACTTACTTCCAACAAAATTTTATTTCGAGTAGCTTACATATGTATGCTTAGAAAATGCGAAAAAAGCAGGCAAAACATATGAAAAACCCTCAGTTGTCATGCGCGAAAAACTTACAATCTAAGGAAGGACAGTTATTTTTCACAGAGACCGATAGAAGGCGGCCTGATGCAGTTCAGCTCTAATCTACTAATCCTGTCTGCTTCAATAATCTCCCTTGTCACTTTATTTTTGTTTTTACTTAGAATAATTGCCATGAAAAAAAGGTTTACAGCCACACATGCTGCAATGCAGTGGCAAAAAACCATCGCGACCATTTCTTACATTACAAGCGTTTTCACGTAGCCCGTCATTAATAAACAGATCAGTTTGTCCTATGTAGTGCTTGCCGCTTGATAGAGGTATCTGATAGATAGAGGTATCTGATATAGGTATCTGACATTTTCTGCGCACGTGACAAACAGCGTTATGTGCCTTTTAGAAATTCCTGGTTTTGCGTGGGAATCAACCTTCATACCCAAGCACGAGAGCTTTTTTGGGGCAGAAAAGACCACCTTTACATTGATTGGCCCGCTCCCCAAACTGTTTCAAGTTGTGGGAGATTCCATGAAGATAAGGCACTACGCCAAGCTTCTGATGCCTTATTTGCCTAACATGAGGGAGGACTTCCTGCAAGGACTGAAGCTTCTTGACCAGATTTCCCGTAACAGAAATCTGTACGTGAGAGCGGTAGCTAGCATTCAGAAGTCCATCTGCTTGTTCTTTAAAACTAGCTGCCATTAGATGTGGACAACACTTTTGTAAGGCATTACTAAAGCACAAGTCTACAATGCCTCGTTTTACGAGCGTAGTGCGGGCGGAAAAATGGCAGCTAGTTTTTAAAAAAAACAAGCAGAACGACTTCTGAATGCTTGCTACAACTCTCACGTACAGACTTCTGTTACGGGAAATCTGGTCAAGAAGCTTCAGTCTTTTCAGCAAGCCCTCCCTCATGTTGAGAAAGTAAGGCGACAGAAGCTTGCAGTAGTGCCTTATCTTCATGGAATCTCCCACAACTTGAAAAAGGTTGGGGAGCAGGCCAATGTAAAAGTGGTCTTTTCTGCCCCGAAAAAGCTCTCGTACTTGTGTATGAAGGTTGTTTTCTACGCAAAACCAGGATGTTCTAAAGGGCACATAACGCTGCTCGTCACGTGCGCAAAAAATGTAATCTATCAGATACCTCTACCATGCGGCAAGCACTACATAGGACAAACTGGCCGGTGTATTAATGACCGGCTCCGTGAACACGCTTGTAACGTAAGAAATGGTCGCGGTGGTTCTTTGGAACTGTGTTGCAGCATGTGTGACTGCAAACCACTTTTTCATGGTACAATGATTCTAGGTAAAAAGAGAAATAAAGTGACAAGGGAGAACATTGAAGCAGACAGAATTAGTAGATTAGGGCTGAACTGCGTCGGCACGCCTTCTTTCGGTCTCTGTGAAAATTAACTGTCCTTCCTTAGAGTGTAAGTTTTTTCGCGCATGGCAATTGAGGGTTTTTCATCTGTTTTACCTGTTTTTTCGCATTTCATGAGCATATATATGTACGCTCCTCGAAATAAAATTTTGTTGGAAGTAAGCGATCCCCTCTGTCCTTTCCCTTGTCCTGTGTTTCTCCTATTTTACATGCTACGTCATTAATTATGTCTCACCAAAACGCCCAACTTTATACTCTAGTCAACTCCCTCGATTGTCTTGACAAGCAATGAACTGTAACACCACCTAAAGAAACTTAGGGGCTGTGGGCGTTTCGCTTGGCTCGCGATGTCTGCCGTTCACAGAGTCTACTTAATAGGAATTTGTAGTTGGGCGAGTTTTTGGCTACATAGCATGTTGGTTTTTGCGCTAAGAAAGACAAACGCATGAGAGAAGGCTGTATACGAGTAGCACTTGAAGTGGTACGAAGTGGTGTAGCACTCGAGCGCTGGTTTGTATCAATATGCAACGAATTCTACATTGCTACAACTGCGAATTGTCAAACACTAAACAAAGTTGACGTTGCCCGAACATGAAACTGCGCTCAGAATCATCGGTGAAGTATAGGCTCACATATTCGTAGGCGCCTCAACTCGTCATCTTATTCTGACTGCAGGGCCCATTGGATATGTCGGTTGTAGCTCTCGATGCGACCACTTGTGCTGGCGCTGATACCATGTGCTTGCGTGCAGAACGTGGACTGTAAGGTGTTCACCAGCTTCTGGCATTACGTGCTCATGGCCAACTACTGCTGGATTCTCATGGAGGGCCTCTACCTGCACAGCCTTGTGTTTCTCGCCTTCTTCACGGACAGCTCCAGCATACTGCGTTACGTAGCCCTCGGATGGGGTGCGTGCCAAGTTTTTCTCTAGCTATCTTCTTTTTTTATTTATTGAATGGTTGCTATTTTACGCAAGTATTTATATTTCACTTGCACGAATCCTGTGCTTTTATACTTCAGGTCTTCCAGTCCTGTTCATTGTTCCTTGGGTTGTTGTTAGAGCGACACTGGATGACACTCTGTGAGTAATGTTGTGCATTGTTCCATGCCCTAGCATCTTTCTGATCTGTGTGTCATATCACCATTGTTTATGCTCAGGAAGGATTGCTTTTATGCAGTTTGGTTCGAGATTAATGCAGGCAACCTATCTCATATAGTCATACATACTTATTCACGTAGCGCAATAACTTGACGAAGCACAAGGGGAGGGATGAATACGAGCGCTAAATCTCAAGATTGTTCTCCGAAGCAAATAAATTTCTTCGTCACGTGTGCAACAAACGTCATCTATCATATACATCTGTCTACTGATGTTTGCAATCTATAGCACTGTTTGATGCTGATACACCCACGTAGACAACAATAGTCTACGCCTGGGTGCATCCACGCTGGTGAAATCATGATAACAGTTAAACATGAAGACTATTCCGTGAAGGTGAATCACCATCGTTATTTACCATTTGTGTTAGCTGAAGTAGTTAACATACACTTGGACACTACACATCGCGAATGAGGGTAAAGGTGACATCTACAAGCAAATAATATAAACCATTACTCGATATCCACTGATTCAAAGTGCTTTCAGTATATGGCAGGGACAACTGAGTGTGTGTGCTCCCCAGTAAGAAGGTTCTTACGCATGTGCTCGAGCATATTGCACGCAGGAACGCGACAGGCAGACTTCCTAGCTTGAAGGAGGCAAAGCGAATGTTTGGCTTCGCGCTGGCATGTCTCTCTGCCAATGCTCTCACTGCACAACATTCGATTGTAGACATCATTGCCGCTCTGTGCCGCTTAATGTAGCACTTTTATTAGAACGGGGCTGTCGCACTCGAAACAGTGGGCGGCGAATAAGCACCATTGGTGCGTATGGAAGCTGGACCGTTCTGGCGATGATGTGTCGCACGCTATAACACGACACGAATGGAAAGTGCGTGCAGCGCCGTCACCAAAGCGAATCACCGCAAACGGCGCATTTGTGCATTTACTACAACGATGCACCCACTGCGCCAAAACCATTCGTTGCACTGAAACTACCGAAGCGTTCCTTGTTGGTTTCGTCTAAGCCATGTACGGAGGGAGTCTGGCGAATGGGCGGGGCAGTGACGTTGCGTTGCGGCGATAACGCCAGCCACGTCATCATCGCGCCATATTTGAACCACCTGCGTGGTCGCTGTACGGCCGAGCTCACTTGCGCGCTATTCAAGCTTGGAACTATAGCATCGCTCAACAAAATGTGAAGGTAAAGGTGTGCAGGAACATTGTAATACAGTTTTAATGAATAGTATGGACATGATCACATGCACGATAACATTCAAATCACAAAACTACTGACTTCTAAACTTATGTACGCGGATTCCCTGCTGAAACATGCTGCTGGTGCCTCACGACTTCTCGTATCTAGCGAGATCATGCCGCACTCTCATCCAAAGCTTTCTCTGTTGCCACGCAGAAAATTCTACAGATAAATACATGGGACAATCGCGGGTCTTTCTGTGCAGACTTTCTGCGCGTTTGCTTGTATTGTGGAAGCATTGAAATAGTATCAATAAGCCTAGCTAAAGCAAAAATGCACTAAGGAGTTATGAGTTGACTGTCATCCGCATTTATAGGCGTTCGCATGGTTCTCTATTGTAGAAAAGGGTCTCATCACAGCGCGGGTCTCATTACAGCGCGGCGCTATTCACGAGACATCTTCCCGTTAAAATCACGTAACGTGCTCACGTGGCGTAAAAATACGTACTATGGCGATGTGGCATGTTCTTTCTAAAATCACGTAGCAATATACACGCATCACATGTGTAAATTACGGAATGAGTTCAAAAGCACAGGTAGTTTGTGAGATAGTTTCTTCATAGAATAACTTGGCCGCCCACTGACCACCTTCCTCTGTTCGTATGAATGGCTGTCTTTTGCTAGATTAGATAGTTCATGGAAAAACGTCGTTTTAGTCGTTCAAACGCTAAACTTAACTTGCAATATTTAATGCTAAACACACTGATTAAACTTGCTTTCAAAAATAAGTAGGAGGTATAGGAACTATACGGTACATTATAGAATGTTCCTGCAAACTTTCAAGATTTATATATTTTATCGCACTCTATACCAAAAAACAATATTATAAGAATAAAAAAGGGGTGTCTTGTAAACAAAAAGCTTCACTTTGAAAGGTAATATAGCTATGTCACGCGCCGTTATACCGACCACACGAGATAACTTGCCTAGAAGCGACCGGATGTGCGCATCCCGAATAATGTTTTGTAAATGTTACTTCTAATATTTTCACACTGGTTAACATTTCCATTCTTTCAAGTGCATAAAAATGGTGATGTGATTCCAGCATCTCTGTTTACATTTTGGGCTGGAAATTCCATTGTTGGTCTTTTTTTATTGATTGGAAGAATGATTGCTGTTGACCATGCAATACTGAAGAGCTTTTTGAGAGCATCGTTGGCTTTGGTCTAAAACACTCAAGGCATTTAGGTTCACAAAGATGGGCATCGCACAATGCAAGTTATTAAACTGGTGGTCCATTTAAACCCTTAAACCCACTACAAAAAGCCCAGCCATAATTCTTCGTCATGATCGGGCACTGCGTCAACAAAGTACACGTATTGACTTTTAGATACGTAGCGGGTGCCTTGCTTCTCCGCACTATAACGAAAAATGTCGTAGTCGGTGTTTCCCTTCTTCGAAAGGATTATGATTATTTATGACAAAGTGGGTGCCAACGCAGCTGTACTTGTAGTAGTTGCCACAAGAGCGTTTAAAGAAGGCTCTAGAGAGGTGCTCTTCCAAACTTCGCTGTGGCAAAGCTGCAGATGTTCCGCGCCGACCTCGAGCTCTTTATACATCAATCTGTCCACTAACCTAACAACAACTTATTTAACAGCGCAAAAAAAAGAAGTGCATCTTATTTGTTGCCCAATTGTATGAACATAAATTCGCAATGCCACACGTAGACAAGTATAGTAAGGAGTACCTCAATTAAAGTGCACTTCAAGCCTATAGAATAAGGCATTTTGTTGCTAAGATTTCTCGCGAGCCAATTTTTTTATTTGTTTGAGTCGACTTTCACCTTCGCAGTTTCAACAAATACAGAATATAGTGAATCAGTTTATTGTACCTGCGTTACTTCCTTAGGACGGGGTTCAGTTCTATAAGTGTTTTAATATGCGCCGCTTGCGTCATTTAATTCATTGACAACTGTCAAAAGGAATTTTGCAGCGAACAACAACAAAAAAACACTTGCATTTTTAATGTCTTGACAGCTGCTGGACAACCAACCCAAGGCAAGACTTGTTCTGGATCATACGTGGACCAATCACGGCTTCCATTCTGGTGAGCTCGGCTTCCTATTTGTAAAAAGACATTTCGCAGTATCGTGGAAAAATGAAAAAGTCTGCTGACTCAAGAGGCGGCACATTTTCGCTTTTTGCCCTCCCGAAATCCCGCATTATTCACCTGCACATTCTGACTGAGACCACAAAAGCTAAGCAATAGTATGTCATACCTGGACGGATGCATGAAGGTTCCTTCTTACAATGGGAGCCTCTAACTGAGCCTATATACAGTAAGGTCTTGGTTATACAAATCTTGCAGGGTCTACAAAAATGGTTGTATGATCCGAAATTTGTATCACCAGAAAATGTTGAATATGTGTATGTGACAGAAGAAAGCTGGCGTATGTTTTCATTTGTTTTTCTAATTAATGAATTATATGCGTTGTGACACTTGTGACCAATCAGATATTATAGTAGCTCCTTTTTTATCTTTACACGCTGTCCCAAATGCTACCGCATTACTGTGATGTAAGTGACCTAACGAGTGCTTCGCATGCAATAGAGGAAGGCCACAAAGTTTTATAGCCACTCTGTTTTGTTTTCTTACGGCGGTGGTGTTGAGATTTTTTTTTTTTTTTTTGGGTGGGGGGGGGGATTTGCGGTTGTGGAAGCAGGACTTGGAGGTTTTTCTCAAAATTCTGAAGTCTACAGTGCAAATTGTAGAGTTGGCAGGTGTGCACGTCCTCAGCTGTTGTGCGTGTTGACATTGCGAAGCCTATCCTTAGCCAAAACCATCCGCTTCCTCTTTCGGTCTATGCTTGTTCATGTTTCATCGGATGTGTTCTTGCGAGGACATGACTTGCCTCAACGTAGGAGGTACGCGTCAACACAGTACGGTCACGCTGCCTCGAGCATAACATGCACGTGTTGACCTGTTTTAAAGAGAAAAAAGTCACAGTTTCACCGCAAGGGTAAAGCATTGAGTGCAAGAGCAACTAATTCGAATTTTTCAAGATTGGCAAGCAGATCGAAACATGCAGCGCACTGCTCACGCACAAATGACGCATAAAAACAACACACACAGGAATGAGAGTGACCTAACAACGTTCAAAGCTACACACTTATCGCGCTGCTCAAACAAAAACGGTGCATAAAGTGTGCTCACAGGTACAGATAAGCGCGAACTAACAAGTGTCGCAGTTGTTACTTCGCTACGTTTGAAAACGCGCTCTTTTTCGCAACGAGAACTCTGCAGCGAGTGAAGTGCCCTACGTGCGCTTGGTAACTACAGCGCAATCGTTCGGTGAAAGCCCAAGACGTACAATTCTCCCCAACAGCGGCGCGCGCGCGCACGGGCGTCTAGCCCCCCACCCCGCTGGGCAGCACGTGTGGGAGAGTAGCGCATGAGCGTGCGCGTCGCGACGAGTGGTCCACCGAGCGCACTCTTTGCATCATTTTGCCATCTAGCAGGTATTATTGAGAGCACACTATTTTCCCCGATATCAGCATACCACCAGCAGTAAGTGGTCTATATGATAGCTCACCGTTTGAATGATTACGGATGTGCCTTTTCGTAGCTCAGTGGTTGATTTGTGGGATTTAACGTCCCAAAACCACCATATGATTATCAGAGACGCCGCAGTGGAGGGCTCCGGAAATTTCGACCACCTGGGGTTCTTCAACGTGCACCCAAATTTGAGTACACGGGCCTACAACATTTCCGCCTCCATCGGAAATGCAGCCGCCACAGCCGGGATTTGATCCCGCGACCTGCGGGTCAGCAGCCAAGTACCTTAGCCACTAGACCACCGCGGCGGGGCGTAGCTCAGCGGTTCACGCCGCGCGCTGCGAAGCGAGAGATCGCTTGTTCGATTCCGCGCGTCGGGAACATTTTTCTGGATTGTTTTTCTTTGTACATTTTATAAGTGTTTATAATTACCTCAGGAAGCGTAAAGGTATGAACGACACTTTTTCAAGCATAGAAAACTCTGTGCAAGCCGAGTTATAGAGGTAACAAGCTACTGAAAAAGAACAAAACTTATGTAACCAAAAAAAGACATTAGCTTAGTTGACATTGAGTCAGTAGAAATAAAAATAAATTCTTTTAACAAGCGCAAAAAAAGAATGCAAAGCCCCTAATAAACGGGCAAGAACCTAAAAAAAGCTATCAAGCTGCGAAATAAACACTCCTGTCTGCAACTTGCCTTGTCGCGTTGCTAAGACACATTTTTCTCCATTCGCTATGAAGTTGTAAGTCCGAATAATGTCGGTGGCGCTAAAATCTTTTTCGCACACTCTAACGTGTTCAGCTTCCTGTCGTGGAAGCTGAACATTCCCACTTATCCATCTCATCGCCTTCCCTAGGCAAACTAAGCGACACCTTTTCGCTCACTACTCTTAGGGTTGGAGCGCAAACTTGGTACACAACATATCTTGTGCATCGTCGACCACGTACACCATCCGTGTTATTGCTTACTATTAGCACAGCCGTCAGTCACACAATTGCAAAAAAACGATGAGTACAGAATGGCTATTATGCTGGTTTTCTCGGGTCCCCAGCTCTCCATATACGCAGCGAAGCTCTCCTCAATTCTCCCTGCTCGCGCCTAGCGCCATGGCGCGTCCGCAGCGGCGACATAGCAAGCTTTCTCCAAAGCATTACGGAGGAATTTCGTGATCAAAAAAAGCATTGAAGGACTCTGTTTGGAGGTGGCTCAGCTCGCCCGTTCATGTAGATCTCCTAGGGGCGTAAACTTGCTCTCTGCCGTCTCGCAAGAACAGCTTGCATCGAGCTGCAATCTGCTCAAGTTCACCGTCAATCTAATACAGCGAAATAAGGCTATGAGATCAAAAAGCCACGCTTTTGTAAATATTTTTGTCTTAGCCTGCTTTTTGTGAACTTACATTAACCGTCGGCTTGATGGCCAGTCCCCAGTAGCTCCATTTGCCGAGTAGCAAGTAAGCAAGTAGATGTTGTAACGCAAGGACTGTAAACATAACGTGCCATGCGAGCATATTTTTAGATAGCCCATGAAGGCGCACTGCTGATGGAAAATATTACAGTGTTCTTCTTATGTGATGCTTAAAGCGATAAGAAGGAAAAGTGAGCCCCGTAACTGTCTGCATCGGAGTGCGACACCTCAACAGTAGCTCACGAGGGATGAGGGTAAAGAAGGATTAAAAGGATAAGATTAGAAGGTAGAGAGAGAGAGGCGCAGGGACAGGGAACGACAGAAAACGACGGAAATGAATAGGAGATAGGAAAGATGGACACGGTCGCAGGAGTCCGAGGACGGGACACCACTCTGCGAGAGCTCTTGTCGGCTTCAGGAGATGGCGTAGGGTGAGCCCAGTCGGCCAGAGCTGCGCTGTCGCCGGAGATCGTGGGGGCACAACCGGTCGGCACGAAATCCAGAGAGGGAGTCCTTACAGAGTTGCGATATTGGATCGTTATTTGAAGCCATAGACATTACGTGTATGCAGCTGCAACTATCACGAAAACGAGCTTGTAAAATACTGCAACTGCTCGTTTTTCCGGTGTCTTTCGCAGGTGAACTTCATATTGTTCCTCAACATTACACGTGTGTTGTTCGCCAAACTGTTTGCCTCTCAAACACCGCAAGCAAGGAAATACCGGTACAGGTAAGGGCACTTGGCAATACAGCCGCCGCACTTGAATTGCTGTCGTTCCTATCACGTGCCAGTTTGACGCATATGACTTCTTCTTGGGGAAATCACACTGCTCAGGTGCTTTACTATGGCTGAGCAAATGTTCTTTGGCTTGGCGGCGCTTTCACATAATATTCGAATGAAGTAATGTTTATTAAAACCTGTCTCCTAAGTAAAGAAATTATCCAAACTAGACACCATATAAATTAGGACGTATTTGTGCCATGCGTTTTGTTCTTTCTCCATACTTCACAGTACCACCCTTCCATCGACCTTTTACTAATTGTCTTAATGTATCTGGCCAAGTGTCGGAAAGATATTCTTAAAAAGCGATAAGCAATAAAGATTATTTGTCTACATTATAAAGCGCGCCTTTTAGGCATTTCAGCATTATGAATTAAGTCGTATGTTTTGTTAATTTCTCATAATTTTATTGAAAGTGGGCCTGACGAGAAAACTTCTAACTTTGTAGCGAGTGTTTGACTTGGTGATCGGCACTCGGTGACAAAGTGTAATGACGACTGTCAAAGCAGTGCACGGACTCCCAGTTCGAGTGGCATTCTGTCAGACAGGAGCCGAAGAGAACGACCCTCTATAGTTTGAAGGGCTCACTGCATCTCACAAGTATACCTCGTAGTGTTGCCGAAGCTACGAAGAGAACACAGGCCGTATTCTTGCCCGGCAGATAATATAGTTCCGGGTTCAACTGTTTTATTATCAACGAGGTACAATAGCTTCAGCTGTGCTTCTCGCATGCGACACGTGGCATGTTATGCCATTCGTGCATGCGCTTCACAATTTCTGAAATAATGCAAAGACTACCAGCTGGTAACCGTAATAGCCACCATAAACGCGATGACGTATATAAACGTGGCAGCCCCTGTACACCCAAGACCATCGGCTTCTAACTGAATTGATGCTTTTTACTGACTCCTTGCCCAGAAGAAATTAACCGCGGATAATCTGCCATCGCTTAGTCTATTCTAACGCTCAGTACACATCCTCAGACATATTTTCTCACTATTATTTACATCACTCGTTCGTTTTCATGTTGTTAGGACTAGTGAGTTGGTGCCGAGCCGTAAAAGTGCTTTGATGTTAACTGACCAGATGTCGCCGCAACATTAGCGTCGGTGATGCGTTGACGATGTGAAACACCCTGAATGTCTGTATTGTTTATTGATTGTTTTCAATGCCAACACTTTTCTGTTCCACGTGGTTGCTGCTGAAAGTGTTTCGACCGTGCTGTCAAAAAAAGAACTCAGTGAAAACGCCAGTATCAACGCTGTTATAAAAAGAACCGCGTTTCTCAAAAACACTTGTCAACACACCCTATACAAGTGCGTTTTTGAACAAAGAGGCGGTGACGTGGCATTCCACAAAGGTTTTTCCGTTTTGTATTCCCTGCAGAAAAAAAAAATTGACAGATCCCGCGTACAGTGGGAATCGATTATATGTGAAGCACGAATGAGAAATGTTGATATGCCACTTTAAAATCAGCACAACGTTACGAGGTAGAGGTAAATGATGCCGCACACGACTTCCGTGTCATGATTATCAGGTTTGGATGTGTCGTTTACCTTCGCCATCTATTCACGTCACGTGATACCAAATTTAGCATGTGTGGAGCTATAGTGAAACGGCCACGAGCACGCTATGAGTGTGGTATGTTGTCATGTTCTTACGTGACACGCGAGTCAGGATTATTATGTTTGCACCAGTCATATATCTCGTCATTCATTGACGTCACGTAACACCGAATCCGGTATATGTGGAGCTAGCAGAATAGCCGCGAGCGCATCATGAAGGGCCCAATATACTCCAATGTAGTGTTGACGAGCGTGCACAGTGGACACAGCGACACTACGTTAGCAAAACAAAACGCGAGCAATATATATAGTATAACTCCAGGCGTGACCAGCGACCGTCGGCGTGGCCCGACGGCAACCGGTACGAAATGCGATATGCTGCATTTCGTGGCGATGCGTTAGCGAGACAACATTGCGTCTCCCTCTTTACGTGATGGAAGGACGCCGGATGCGCTGAAACGCGCATGCGTCAAAGCAACGGAGCGTGGTGCGCAGCTGCAAGTATATGGCAGGACCGGTGCATGGCGTGACAACGCCGGCGTGACGCGACGAAACAAACGCCGGCGAGCACGCGCACCGCGTCACGTCGAAATGTATTGGCACCTTGACTGTGGCATGTAGTCATGTTCTCACATGACACGCATCTCATGATTATCATGTTTGCACCGGTCACATACCTTTGTCATCCATTTACGTACTGTAATAGCAAATTTGGTATATGTGATGCTAGCGAAACGCCCGCGGGCGCATCATGAGCGTGGCATGTAGGCATGTTGTTACATGACACGCATCTCATGTTTATCATGTTTGCACCAGTCCCATACCTTCGTCATCCGTTCACGTGTCGTAATACGAAATTTGGTATATGTGACGCTAGCGAAACGCCCGCAAGCACATCATGAGCTTGGCATGTAGTCAAGTTGTTACATGACACGCATGTCAGGATTTTCATGTTAGGGTCTGTCGCTTGTGTTCGCCATGCAATCATGCCATACCACACCAGTTTTGAACATGCTATGTGAACGAAACCACCGCAAAAGCTGCAGGACCATGAAATGTAAATCACGACCTTCATGACATCTATGTCATGATTTTCATGTTATGACTAGTCAAATGCGTTCTTCATACAGTTATGTTATGCCATACCAAGTTTGGTATCGATACCATTATCGAAACGGCCAGGAGAGTTAAAAGTCGTAGGCAGATGGATGGATGGATGGATGGATGGATGGATGGATGGATGGATGGATGGATGGATGGATGGATGGATGGGTGGATGGATGGATGGATGGATGGATGGATGGATGGATGGATGGATGGATGGATGGATGGATGGACGGACGGACGGACGGACGGACGGACGGACGGACGGACGGACGGACGGACGGACGGACGGACGGACGGATGGATGGATGGATGGATGGATGGATGCGCTCAAAGTCGCCGAAGTTCGCTAAGAAATGCTTCGCATTTAATACGTATCGAAAAGGTAGGTGAGCCGTAGATACGAGAAGCAGACCACGTGACGCGGATGAACATGTCTTCAGGGGGATTTCACTTTTCCTATTGGCCGAGAAGCCCCGCAGCTTCCACAGTGCTGCAAGGTACTTCTGAGATGGATCCCAGACCGTCTTGCGTGCCTTTGCTCGAACAACTCGTTTTCTTTTTTTTCTTCTTTTTTTGTAGCTTCCTTTGGAACATCAGTGCCATGACGAATGAAAACTTCTGCAGTGTATTGAGCAGTCACGTTGCTAGGGGTAGCATATCGGGCCTATGCCATCCAACCCGAAACTTTTTTCGCCATGGCATATAGAGCCAAGAAAAGAAAAAAACCCGACCACATATACCAGCCCGTGTCCCACTTCAGATCAAAGAGGTGCCCACATGAGAATGAGGAGATGCACTTCAGAGCTAGGAGGTGCCCCACCCCCAAAAAATGTTCTGGTTACGCCCCTGGAGGCGAGGATTGATGACAACATCCTTCAAAATATAAGATGTGTTTCTACTAAAATTCTTTAAATGACACACAGTGCCGTACAAAGGAAATTTTATGATTGATGGGCTCATATACGCGTCATTGAGCGCAAACAACACATTTGTGACGTTGAGCATCCACCCGCGGTCAGAAGTTTTTGACTTTTATAGTTAAAAACGATGAGTTGACAATACTATTACAGCATTATTACATGCTCGCATTTCATATTATTCTTGAATAACTAACAAAATACTACACATCAAGCTGTTATTATGACAAAACTGGCATTTTCAGTTTCGTTCTTGTTGACGATGGGTGCATGGTCTAAAATTCTTGCTGGCATCTTTGGAGACAAACTGCGTAGACAGAAACTTTTTGCAGCAAAATAATTGGCAATAAATTGTGCATTTGTTATGACCAAGACCACGAAATGAGATTTTGTAGAAACAAAGTTTGCTTTTCTCACTTGGCCTTATACATTAATCCACAAGACCCCGAACAAACCGAACAAACAGCTGTTTCTTGACATCCCAAAGAAACATGTTCCATCCCAGCTCTTCCAAAGCACCTGTACACTTGTTAGCCTGTACCTCGCTTTATAACTACTAGTCGTGAGGTATACAGACAGAAGAGAGGAGAAAAGGAAGGACAGGGTGGCATACAGAGCATATCACACTTGTTGGGAGCTTCGCGCGTTTTCAGCTCAGCTTTTTATGCTCATTTTCATGGGAACCAGCAATCAATAGTGCGTATAAGGAGGCGAGAGCGGGTCCCCTCGGCGAAAAGGCGGACGCGGAAAGAAGAAAGGGGCTTACATCTCACGACGCGTCTTCTAGAACTTTCACCACTATGAGGAAATTTGTATTGTCCCATCTGCTGCAGAAAGTGGTTCAAGTCGACGCTTGTCCTGGTGCCTTTGTTCGGTGCTCACTACGCATTTCTGCTGGGCATGTCGCTGGCTGCTGCTGGGGACCTGCTCGAACTGGTGTGGCTGTACGTCGATCAACTATTCTCATCTTTCCAGGTAAGTGCCTGGTAGGAAGCGACGATTATGTTTAGACTTGCTTACAATTTAGAGTACTCGTTCCTGTTGACGTGTGAGCAACATGGCAGCAGAAAAAACACGTCTGATTTCGGCGTAGAAGCCCTATTTCTCTGACGCCAAGCGATCTCACGCGACTTTATACTTCTTCGGAAAAGCTTTTAAGTCCGCCAAAATATACGCAGGAGTGAGCTATACGTAGGTTTGGAATCCTGCGCATGTTGACAAAAAGTCACAGCTTTGTCGCAAAGGCGAAGCAATGAACGCGATAGCAACAAATTGGAAGGTCATGCGCAGAGTGGAAAGCAGATCAAAACGGGACCCACGTTTCTCACGCAAAAATGAGGCCTGAAACGTACTCGCAGGTACATATGCACACAAACTAGCGTTTCAGTTGTTACTTAGCCGTGTCTGAAAGCGCGCGCTATTCGCAAACGGAGACAGCAATGATTGCAGTTAGCTTTGTGGGCCCGGTAACTACAACGGAGCCGTTCCAGGTAAAGCACGAGGCCGGCCAAGACGTACGATTCTCCATTCCTCACCAACACGAGATAAGCGCGCGCGAGGGAGCATCGCTCCCCTCCTCTAAACGGGGCAAAGTACGCATGGGAGATTAGAGCACGCACCACCACGCGATTTGGCGATGCTGCAATAAAGAAAGAAAAAAATAGATTTGGCGATCCTAAAGTTCCTAGAGGAAACAAGTTTCCAAGGCGGCGACACCTTTCACTTTCCTCCTCGCCTATAATCCTGGAGTGCCCCCTAGAAGGTTCAAAAGTTGCATCAAACAGCGACTGTTTGGGTTCAGTTGCCACGCTGAATAAATGTAAATGAAACAAAATAGAACGGAATGAGTCGTAGAATGAACAGTTACATTTATGAACATAAATGCTACAACACAAAAGCAAGCTGGATCAGTGGTACCCAACTGGCAACGTTGTGCAGTTCTACATTTTACCCAACTAGCCATGGCGTTTCGCGTCGTTCATCGTAGTTCGTACAGTCCTCTATTTATCCGAAAGTGTTTTGACGTGCTGTGACACAGTGAACGCGCTTCTTGCTGGATCTTGTCAGTGACCACAGGGCGTGACGTTGTGACGACTGATTACAGTCGACTTGTGCACACGCACGGAAAAACCACGGCCAGACTAGCAGCACTGCAATGACGGTTTTTTTAATGTGCCCATTTTGACAATCGTGATGCCAGGTGACTCTGGTGCGGTGCGCGGATCTTCCTGAAAAGTGAGAGTTTTACTGATGAGGTGTCTCAAAGCAGCACGTTTCGGCTCCTCTATACCACGTTCTTGTCTACTGGTCAAGCGTGAAATGTTGCTGCAGGTGTGCTGATTACGTGGTCCAACTGCTCTGTATACGTGCATACGCACAAGTATTTGTAACAACTGCAGCATGCACTAGACGCGCATTAGAGGCACTTCTGGCGTTTCAATGAAAAGCGACAAATAAACTCGTTTCGCAGATCCACGTCGACGTATGTCGACGGAATTGCACGAAAGCGTTTGCGCGAAATATTTCATAGCTACACTTCACGGCGTGATTCATTTCGAATAGCACAAGGTAAGTTAAAGAGACCATTTTTTGTTGTTCTACAGCAAACCAGCTTTCTTGAAAAGCTCGGATATTGCATTGAAAAAGCACCACGAAACAATCTCGACCAACTTGGCGCCAACTGAAACGCTCCTCTTCTTCAGTTTATGTCCTCGCTACAATTTCACCGTCTTTCGTCACGGCGGGAATCCGCCAGCAATCATATGCGCATGCGTACTCGTTTTGAACCTTTTGCATGATGATAAATAACACCAACAGCCATTTGCAAGATCACGTGCAAGGAATGGACCAATTACAGACGCGGATGGCAGAGAAAAAGAGGGGTAAGCGAGAGAGTGATGAGGAAGACATCAAGAACAATGAGTGACGCTACCTTGGAAACTTGTTTCATCTTGGACCTTAGGAAACGCGCGCTAATTGCGCCATCTTGCTGGCAATGCTCAAAACACACTAGCCCCCCCCCGATATGCCCGTCAGCAGCGGTAAGGGGTAGATATAAATAGCTTGCCGTTTTAACGTTGAAGGACGTGCTCCTCGGTGGCTTAGTGGTTAACTTTTTTTAACGCCTCGCACTCGCGATTCAGAGGACCCAAGTTCGATTCCGCGCGACGGAGTCTTTTTGTTTTTTTTTTTTATTTATTGCATTTTCATATATATATATATATATATAGATACGTATACATATACGGTGAGTGACGGCGACGTCTACGCCTGCGGCGAAATCCAGTCGAGGGTGTTCATATGATTGCTCTCGCAATAATGAGCGACTTATGGCGGAATATTTCCCTGAAAAGTTTTATGGCGCACTTTCGTTGTGGTCAGGCCTCTCGTAACGCCTGATTTCACCTGCGTCTGCAAGATGACAGTTCCGCTGAATGACTCACTCAAATTTATCCGAAGACCCATTTAGGCCATAAACTTGGGCACATCGAGATTAGTCGTCTGTCGCTTGGATAAATGCACCCTGCGTGAGAGCTGAAGATGGTCCGAAGACCTGCTCTTGGCAGTTTCCCTTTGACCCTCATGAGTTGGTTACATAAGAATTGAACGCCACCCAAACACCTCTGTCCACGTCGTAGCTTCTGTCGCAGCGTCAGTAGTTCGCTTTACTTCAACTGTTCCTCTAACCTGGGTCACGGCACCTTATGGTTGAAAACCAGAAGCTTTTTTGTTTGTTTCACGCGTGCAAAAATAACGAAAAAGCATCGTAGGTCCACGATGGCATTCCACTTATTTGTCTTGTTTGCTGTTGCTACTCTGCTGCTCGAACATTTGACACATTACAACAGAGTGGCCTTTGCCCTGCAATGGGCGTAGCCAGGCTGATGATGATGATGATGATGATGATGATGATGATGGTGGTGGTGGTGGTGGTGGTGGCGATGATGATGATGGTGGCTGTGGTGATTATGATGATGATGATGATAGCAGCAGAGAGGTGTTAGAATGTGATATGGTAACATAGGCAGTGATGTCATTTCTGTCACCTTTTCGCGGTCTGGAAAATTGGTAATTTACTCCTTTGTTGGGCTACAATGGGAAGTTTGAAAATATGCGTCTATAGTAGGACAGGTAAACCGTGTTTGAGAGGGAAATGGCTAGCATCACATGATAGCATGAGGTGTGTAAAATGTTGACATAAGTCATGTATGAAAGTCTAGCTTTACACAAGTACCAACAGCGGTTCGATACCTAATCACATCTTTGATAAGCATGCACCTGATTTCCACATGCACACTGTCATTGTTCAATGAATCGTGCAATTGTCTGCTCAAACAGTATCTTTCCCCTTCGAGAGCTGGATCCCACCAGCATCGAAGCTTCCTACGCACCACCTATACCATTCCAAATTTACATAATTTCACTTTTCGTTCCAATGTGGTCTCTAAGGACGCACTTCAAGAACAGTCGGTGATCGTGGCTAATATGCTGCACTAATGATGTCAATTCATGCAGGGTTTCGTGGTGGCGTTGCTGTACTGCTTCTTGAACGGCGAGGTGAGTTCCTACAAAAGTTCAGAAGGTTGTTTGACAGGACCGTGTTTGCTATGGCATCGCTTTCTCGCCATCTTTGTCGCGCTTTAGCAAAATTTACCAGCGCCAATTAGCCCTGTTAACTGTATTTCTAAAGCTACCAAAATTCTCAAAGTTGATCTCTTCGATTTGCGTACGCGTCAATTAAACGGGCCAGTCAAGAATGCTACAACAGCTGACTTTAAGGCAAATCGACTGCATAGAACCATTTAGGCCCTGTAAACAAAATTTAAAAAAAATGTTTTCGTGGAAGATTATTGAAAATACTTTTGACACTTCTAGTCGTTTACTCGGACGAGGTGCCGCATTCCTGTCACTACGCTTTTTTCCGAGTGGTTGTTGCAGCCAAATACGGCAATGTTCTCCGTGATGCCACAGCACACAGCTGCGTAGAAACACAGCACGCATGATCTCTGTCGCGGAACGCCAGTCTTCGTTAGGTGAAGCACCGTCAGAAAGACGGAGCCACGAGACAAGCAACAGAACGCCTTTAATGGCGACAAAAGAACACTCAATTGTGATGATAGTGCTGCACGCACCTGTTGGCACTCGCTGAGGACCACGATCATTCCTTCTTCATTGCCGTCTGCTATCTCCTACAATCTCCTCACGCCAACCAACTTACGCGTAACACAGCACTATTCGCGCTGCCAACTCGATACGATGGCTTCGACGATTGACATTTTCAATACTTGTCCAACGATGCACGACCAAGCACGAATGAAATGACCTGAAAGATGGCGTGGTGCCCCAGCGATGCTGTACACATATATAACCACCTCGTGGATCAAGGCACTGTAAATACCCCTCTAATGCCCCTCTAAGACTTCACAGCAGCCGATGATTGAAAAGATTTTATTAAAAATACTTCAGAAGTAGCCTTACCAACTTCGTGATTAGGCTCTGTAACCGGTCAACGCTGATTGTCTCATTCACTCCGTTGTAGGTGCAGACAGAGCTTCGCAAGTTGATTGAGAGATGGCGCTGCGACAACCAAGGACCCGGCCGAGGCGACAAGCAGCTTCAGCATCGTCACTCTCTCTTCACGCAATCTGTGACGTTCCTCAGCAGAGGTCGGAGTTCCATCCAATCATTGCACTCCAGTGAGCCTCCCATATACGCCACGCTACGTCGGCAAGTGCACAGCTTGTTTCGCAAAGCGTTCACTCAATTCGCCCTGCAGCTCGGCTCAGTTGAAATGATTATCGATGGGGCTTGCTGCGAATATATGGTGCCACTCCGTGGCACAGCCAGGATATTTGCTGTGGGCGCTTTGCATACAATACAAGCTACGAAACCAGCCTTTATTATGTACATGTTCAACAGCATGTGTATGTCTAGGACCAAAAGTGAAGTTTGTTTGTGAAAAAGAAGCTGACATAAGAGAGATAGCACGCAAAAATTATCATAAATTTTACCACTAAACTAAAAAAGTGTATATTACCAGCATGAACATAAAAAACCTGTGCGCCACCGCTGTCACCTGCTTTGTTCATACCACCCCCGCCACCGCGCAATAATTGTGGCACGCCGCCTTTTGTCTTTTCCTTTAATCCTAGCAGAGAATGTGGACATCAAACATACTTTTTCAATCACTTCAACGGGAAGTTCTTCTCGATCTGCCCATGTAATGAACTGAGCAACTTGAGCTTGCTTCTTAACTGGTGACCTGAAGAGATAACACTGTTACGTGCACAAAATCTGGTTGATTGGTTCCTCAATACCATGGCGCGATCCACACTAAGGGATAGGCCATGCTTTGGACAGTGCCTTGTTTAAAAAACTTATGCACTTATTGTGGTTACAGGTTGAAAATTAATTCTTTTAATCATTCAAGAATAATATTATAAGCTCGCAAGGTCTAAAAATATAAAACTTTGGAGTACTAAAGCAAACAAAACTAAAAAAGATTATAAATAAGCCAAATGGATTAAATTACACCTAAGACTCGATTCTTTTGAACTCTCCTAGAGAGTTACTTACAGCATTGAAGATGCTCCTGTGGCTAAAACCGAATACCTTTGCACGAAATGAAAGAATAACCGAAAGTGACAAAGTTCAACGTTGGCAGAGGTTCTTCAAATAGTCTTTTCCTTTGCATTTTAAATCTTCAACACGTCAAAAAAAAGTGCTCCAGAGATTCACTTTCATTACAGGGAACGAAATCAGCCAAGCGAAAATAACTCTGCTCATTTTGTTTCTTTCCCCTCGAGTCGTACCCACTCGTAATAATAATGAGTTTGACGTACGTTTGTCCAGTACCAGGCCACCAGGCAGAGCTGCTTGTGCATGGCAGTCTGTTGAGCTCAAGACTCATATGTGGCCACGTGTTTCTTTTTATTTATTCACGTGCTAAACCTATTGAAGTCTGGCATTTTTAAGTTTTACGAAATTCGCCGCCACAATTGAGTACCTATATGTAAAACGGGCTAGATACCTTGTCTGCGCGCTATGATTACATAGCGGAGCACGCGCGGAAGAAAAAAAAATATCGAAAAGCAATTAGTACCTCGTTAGAAAGCTTAGTCAGTGTTTTAGCGGACCTGCGCTAAAAATTATTTATATTTCATTGACAAAATTGATTGAGCAGGAGTATGAATGGTAAGAAAGAGTATGAAGATTATAGTCGTAAGGTTTCTGGAAATCAGAACATCGGAAGGTGTTTCCACCGCTTAGAATAGAGATAGTTGAGCTGGTTGGTAGGTATACATTCTAAAATACAGGAGGAACAAACATGGGCACAAGAAGAGAGTCGAGACACCTCAGATAGCCCGGTGTTTCACACGAAGTTTCAGTTAAGATTTTTTTTTCATCACAAAACGAAGGCGTGTTCTGGCATAACAAGTTCAGATGTTATGTGGGGATAAATTTTCCTGTGCCACATAAGTGTTTCTTGAAGTAAAGAAATGGCGGGGAACACGTCCGTTTTGTGAACGCACACCGCCTAGTTACTGCCAGGTACCGAGATGGTGATGCGAATACAATCTGTTAACGGCGACCTTGCTTGTCTGACCATTGTCGGCGTTCACGTAGACATAAAAAGTGCCTGCATCAACGTTCTGTGCTAACTGTACGCACCTGATTTATTGCCAAATGTACATGACAAGCACACCTTTACAGCACTGAGTTGTCCACTGATGTGCGAAGCTTTAGCTGGAACACGAGGATGCTTGTTTGTGCAGTGGACAGGACCAAGAGCCCTTCTCCCAATCTTGCGAACAGCGGACGACAGTTTGAAGGGGAAGGAACGCCTGCGAATCAGCGCAATGGGAGACATGCCCTGGAGCACACCCGAGGACAACCTCCTTGAGAAGGAAACCTGTCTTTAAGCGATCAGGGACGCGTTCAGGGACGATTGCTGTGTTTAATCGCGTGACGTGTGGCCATTGAGTGACCGTCAATATTGTTATGGAAGGCGATGCTCCGTAGCCGGGCAAGTTTCCTAATAAAACTATGGGTCACGCAAACCACCTGCCATTCTGGTCGCGAAGGGTTACGAATATCGGCCCACTTTGCTGACCAGACCCCGAACATGGGGCCATGCACACCACGTGTTCCGCCCGACGTTTACTGCGTGATTCCGTAAATTGGTGCACGTGACCGAGGGTGCACGGTTGATGGTTCTCTTGTTAGGCCAGAGTGGGCACAGCTGCTGAGGTGACCGCAAGATGAGCAGGAAAACTCCCTCGTGCAGTTGGTAGCTTACCCCAGATTTTTTTTTTCTGCACTGATCGTCAACAGGCGTTGTGTCCAAGAGCCGAGCCAGTGTGAAGTTAATGTGGTTTCTACAAGTCAACAATACGTGTGTCTTCGGCAAGAGTCCACTCACTGACAATAGAAGACCGTGTTTCGTGTTCTGTTTTCTCATTCCATAGTGCGTTCTCCGGTGTATGCAAACGAATGTATTTGTGCCCAGCCTCTTTGCGGTAGAAGGAGTAAACTACTAGGAAATAAACAGAAATGTGCTTCTCGCAGCCAGTATTTTCATACAATGGAAGTCATCAATACTTGCACCGTGGATGCCGAGGGAAAATAATCCGACGTTGTAGTGCAGCAGAATCCTTGAGCTCAAATTTCCTCCGATTACCATGTGTACATAAAGAAACTGTAAATTCCAGAAAATTTCATTGGCGCACTGTTTTTCACATATTCATAATCATTGTATGGCGTGATGTCCTACAAAGAGCACTTGGACCGTTATAGCTAAGCACCACTTTATCATGTTCAATCGTGGTGAATGTTTGCCTCGGGTAATGTTCATATTTCTTTCGCCCAATTTCAGTTATGTCTGAACAAACAAATAAAACACGTTTCTAACGCTCCGTGTCGCTTCATTTCAGCCCTGTGGCCGTGTTCCTGAGCCCCGCATATCAATGGCGGAGGAGAGCGAACGCAGCGACATTCGCACGTGCTTTCAAGCGAAGCACGGCCACGGAAACATTCGCGCGCCCGGCTACCGCGGACTGCATGTACCACATGCAGTCTGGTACATGGTCTGCACATGGTAGCAGAGCTGCTCGTCTGTTTCCCGAAGGCCGGTAGCAATCGTGCATTGCGGAGACGTTGACGCACAGGTCAATCCCTGTTGTCGCAACGAACCGGAACGAACACTATGCCCGTATATACAAACCCTCCTCACTTCAGACCCTGCCTCAGACCTTATCCTTACCACATGGAATGTGCTAGACTGCTCCACATCTTTAAAGTATTGTTTTATTTATTTTATTTTCTGTTTGTGTTGTGTCTTGCGAGTATCCGTTGGCCCCTTGAAGTGGTCCTTCTCCTTGTTTATGGGCGGCTGCTATCGGCGAGCCTCCCATAACTGCGAGCGCCGAGTCGGGACAAAGGAGACAGCCCCGTTTTACTGCACTTTGCTGGTTCGAATGCAGGAAGGGAAACACGACACTTAGCGCATCCGTGGCCTGCGGGACGTTCGACACTGCTTCCCCAAATTGGCGAAGCGAAGGACCGCACCCTCTGACCTTTTGACTTCGTGGAACCATTAGTGTTGGTGTGTGTGTGGGTTGTGTGTGCATGTTTGTGTGAGCGTGCGTGTATGTGTGCTCGGACCTGTGGTCGGAAGAGCAGAGAGGGAAAAAGCGCGGGAAGAACCAGAGACGGAGCGAGAACAGTGAGCGAAGAGGAGTCTGCATGCGAATTGCTAGTAATAAGAGCGGTTGTGCGTTGATCGATGAGTGGCACTGAGCGGTTGTCCGATTAATATTGTAACCAAGTTTACCTTATTAAATACAAGCTTATTTTTCATCTTTTAACAGTGCGTGCGTTGCGTGTTGCGTTTTGTGTTCTATTTTAGTTTTACGGCCATTTCTGCGAAACCCTAACATTCAACAAAAGTGGGATAGAGGACGCTAACATTGAGGAGCTCGTCATGCCTCCTTATCTTTAGAGACTCGAACCTTGATAAAGCCAGCGCAAAAGCTCCCTTCAACTTTCTTTTACAAAGCGCCGCCTCAGTAACGTATACGTGTTTGGCAAGTCTGTGCTCGAAATTACCTGTGAAATATTAACTAAACGTCAGTTTTTAACCAATAATAACGTGTATTTTGATTCATGTCAATGAATAATAACGTGTACATTGCTTTATCACGCTTTATTTGCGCACTTAGCTTTCCGTTTATTCGGCTTTCGCCGGTTGCACCACCAGCAAAACAAAAGTATGGCCGATTAACCTTGAAGCTCGGTACTTTGATTGATGTCCGTTATGCAGTTTGTACCCTTCTTGAGGGAGTGAGCAACAAAGATCGTTGAAAGAACTAAGGACGTGAGTGCGATTTATTTTCAGCTCGAACCGGTGTTAAAACCACCCCGCGTTCAAAGACGAGGGGGTGGTTTTCTCCTCTTTCTCGCAACCCTTCTCCCACGCAATGCATCATCCTCTCCCCTTAGTTATTCAAAAGAACGTGGACAACGTCAGCACTAAGCGCTATGGCCTAATGGAGGCGGAAATGTTGTAGGCCCGTGTGCTCAGATTTGGGTGCACGTTAAAGAACCCCAGGTGGTCGAAATTTCCGTAGCCCTCCACTACGGCGTCTCTCATAATCATATGGTGGTTTTGAGACATTAAACCCCACATATCAATCAAATCAGCGCTATGGCCTATCAGGATTTCACGCTTCTCGGCTACGCGCTGTTATCGCTGATTGTGCAGTTGTAAACACACAAATGAAGTATGATCGGTTGATCGTTCGCGATATTCATGCGAGACAAGGAAAAATGGATGGAAGGCTGCGTGGCAAAGCAGTGCAAGAGAGAAATCGCATCTGATGTTTCGCGCACACGAACCAATTGAAAGCATGCACAATATAGACGTCACGGGAACTGCTGTCTGTGTCACAGAAGTGCGCGAAAAGGACAAGAAATATCAGGAGAAAATATTGCGCTCATTTTTGGTTCATCGAGAGCCTGGTGGGCGGCGCTTTAAAATTGTGAAATTTGCTCACTTTGGTGCAATAGTTCTTCGAATCTACTTACGTACAAGTGAATGATTACGTTTACATTCAGAGCAATGGTGTTTCTATCTGGTCGTGCATCTCGTGTCTTTGCGGAGTGACCCCTGTTTTGAGCTAAACGACAGTCTTACAGCAGTGGCTCCCATGCAAAGGTGTAGTTACAATTTTTTTTTTTCGGAGTGGGGGAGACACGATGGGGGGGGGGGGGGGAGACACAAGCATCAGCTTGCCCCTGTGACGTGACAATTGGCGGTAGATTAAGATTGAGCAGATTGTGTACATGTTAATCAGTGATGAAATACCCATCCCCCGCCCTCCCACGCGTATATGCTCATGAATGGAAGAGAGTAAGTAAATGTGAAGTAATCACAGTAAAATACAGTAAACGACAGGTACAGTGTGTGTTTGGAGCAACAGGCTCTCGTCGCACCATTGAACGGACTAGTCTTCGAAAACGCATAATTGCGACGACCCGCCCGATCGGAGAAGACATCGTCAATTCCTGTTAAGCGTATATGGCGTATATAGTCCTCGTCGGGGCGAAGTGAGTTTTTGAGTTACACAAGTCAAGGACGGCTCCACTTACAACGGGAAATGAGAGGTATGCGCAGCACGTTTTTGTAGATTCGTAATTACATTTCGCCTTTGCTTACTTTATTGAGCAAATTTCTTACTGTCGATGATTGATTGATGATTGATTGATTTGTGGGGTTTAACGTCCCAAAACCACTATATGACTATGAGAGACGCCGTAGTGGAGGGCTCCGGAAATTACGACCACCTGGGGTTCTTTAACGTGCATCGAAATCTGAGTACACGGGCCTAGAACATTTCCGCCTCCATCGGAAATGCAGCCGCCACAAAATTTCTTACTGTCGATGCTTGTGACTGCGTGCCATATGGTAATGATCTTTATGTTAAGCCCTATGTTTCAAGCAGCCCTGACGCAGTGATATACCTTCTAGTCAAGAGTTTTTACTTTACTGCGCGCATCCAAGCATGCTTGCGATACGCAATAGGTATTTTTTTTTTTTGTAATTTATGGTGCACGTCGGCAACGCAATTTCACACGTGTTGTTTTGAGGGCAGACTTTCTCGCAACCTTGGTTGACATAACAGTTGCACTGTGACTTTTGATAACAATGAAGTACTCTAACCTTAGAAGCTTTATCGCGAAAGCTGCGTGGGCAAAGAAATCATTGTTTAGAAATGTTCAATTTGTCTCAATCGAAAATGGACCTGGAGCCAGACTGTATCACATAGAAATAGCTTGTTCGCTGCGTATAAGCGCTAGAAATCTTAAGTACGCGCAAAAATGTGTAATGTTCTCGTTTTTTTTTTTTTTTTTGACGCTGTACTGTGTGATAATCCATGCCTGTCAGTCGTATGTTTCGGGCTAGGCATCACCTGCGCGATGAATAAGAAATGATGATGAGGATGATAAAGGCGTTACATATGCAACCCTCATTGGAGTGAACGACATGTGCTAAATACGAGGTCTGCGGCCCTCGATTTGCTTCAGAGAGACAAAAACTTTCTGACGCGTTGCGACAATTAGACGATCGGCCACTCTCGGTTCAGATGCTGCTGGAGCACCATGCTCGTCTTTTGTCGGCCCACAAGGCGGTCAAAACAGTCTTACGCTTTTTGAGGGCTACGGCCTTATGTGATCACCTTTGACTTCTGCACAGTGCCACCGCTGCATACGCGTCAGCTCATGTACTGACAATTTTCTCCTCTCTATTCCTTCTCTTTTCTCTCTCCCATCTTTGTACACCCCTTTCCCATTACCCTAGCGTAGGGTAGCCAACCGGGCATGTGTTTGCTTAACCTTCCTGCCTTCTCCATTGTTGTTATTCTTCCTTTCCATGCATAAGAACATGATAAGCGCATAAAACAAAGAGCTGTCATTGTATAAACAAAGAGCTGAACGGTGGGTGATGACCGTTTTGCATGTCTTGTCTTTCTTTGTGAAGAGAGAAGATAAAGAGAAGAGGAAGGCAGGTAGGTACGCCATCTCATCGTGCTACTATAGGAAACGAAAGACGACATGGAAAGAACCACAGGACACAAAACAAATTCTCCCGAGGTTGTCTTTTCGTCGTCTTTCGTTTCGTAGCAGCACGCTGGAAACTTTGTCAAAACTATTTTGGCCTTACGTCCCAAAATCATATGATTCTGAGAGATGCCGTATGTGGGAGGCTCCGGAAATTCAGACCTCCTGGAGTTTATTTATAATCTTTCAGCCACTTTGTGCGAGACAAACAAGAACAAAGCAAGAAGGTAATTGTGGGCCTCAAGCATTTTGCCTCCATTGAAAATGCGACCATCGTGGCCGAGATTCGATCCCGTGATCTACGGGTCAGCACGCTGGAAATTCTAGCTTATTACAACCGACTCGCCTCTCCCCAGCTGGCTCTTCTGTTTCTCCTTTTTCTCCTCTATTTTCCTATGAAATGTCTGTAGGAAACAATAAAGCATGATCTGACAGTAAGTGTTTCTTCTTCGTCGTCCCCGTGTACCTTGTCCTCTTTGCACTGCGCCACTATAGCGAAAAAGTTGCACATCCACTCAGCCGCAGGCCCCGTTCGAAAACAGGCCTGGCGAGCAATTTTTCACCGAAGGATATATCAACAGTGTTTGTACGCAAACACATGGTATCGATCGGTGCCTTTTCGAGCGAGATGTCTCTAACCAAGTACAGAAAAGAAGCATAATCTCGGTGCGAGGTAAGAAGACACGAGAGTCGCCGTAGCGCTACCTTGACTTGCAGGAGCGCTAGTGGGGGAACCATGGTGAGGAGCACTCTAACATACCAGATAAAAAGTCCTCAAGCCGCTCCCTTACTGTGCCATAGACTGAGCCATATGGACCATAGACCTTTTTTACAGAAGGCTCCCTGGACACCAATACTTTCAAAGCATGAGCCCCCCCCCCCCCCCCCCCCCAAAAAAAAATAACTGCCAAGGCAGTGACGTGGGCCTTTGTACTCTCATGGTACATTCCACAAAGGAGTTGCTTCTTCTTTGATCGCCGCTTAAAACATGTCATGCATGACATGTAAGAACAGAGAGCGACTTTGCCGCATAGCCGTGGTTGATAGCCGGACCAATGAGCAACTCTGCCACTCGAAGGCAAGTATACTCGAACTCTCTTTCGCTACCGCTTGAAAATCATCATTTTGTCATAAGTCTCGGGAAGAAATTTTTTTCCCGGTTGAAAATGTACTGCTGCACGCATTGCAGCATTGCTTATTTCTGTGTAAGTATCTGTTCATAAATGATCGAAAATTTTCTGGGTCCTGTACAAAGCACGTGCTCTTAACGTCATGCAACAAATGATGGGAAATCAATACATCGCGCAATGACCACTCACGCACATAAAAAGAAGAGAGTAAACTAATTTAGATTCATTAAAAAAAACTTTGATGTCCCACACAATCTCCCGAACGTTACGTGACGTTGCAAATCTGCGAAACCTCGTAGCGTTACCAAACAGCGCATTACTGTAGTGAACAAACATTAACTCATTTTGGAATAGCCGGACAGTGTCTTATTCTGAATCCGTTTCGGGAAGCTTGCTCGCCCACCACATTGGCAGCGACTATGAGCATCTGGTGCGATGAACTCATTTTCAGAATTAGTGTAACGATGAGCATTTTGTGCCTGTATGCAACTCTCTGTGAACTAACTGATCCTCACCTAGAGAGAGAGGGGGGGGGGGGGGAATAAATATAATTGGAGCAAGCAAAAGCCTTCGCTGGTGGGCAGACTTTAAACAAAACATGAACCCTGATTGATATGTGGGGTTTAACGTCCCAAAACCACCATTTGATTATGAGAGACGCCGTAGTGGAGGACTCCGGAAATTTCGACCACCTGGGGTTCTTTAACGTGCACCCAAATCTGAGCACACGGGCCTACAACATTTCCGCCTCCATCGGAAATGCAGCCGCCGCAGCCGGGATTTGAACCCGCGACCTGTGGGTCAGCAGCCGAAAAAAAAAACATGAACCCTGACCATCTCTTTGGTACGGTCGATCAAGTTTCGAGAAGCTGGGTTTCTCAGTTTGCTCGAGTTTACTGCTTTATTGATCACCTCATTACAAACCACCGCAATCGCGGCAAGCAAGGCGGAAAATAACAGAAAACTAAAGGGGGGACCTTGTTTAGCTCTATTCCTGACTGAGCCCATCTAAAACAGTAAATAGGTGCTACTGCACACTGGTCAACTTACAATAGCTAGGATATGAAAATGCTGTAGACCCGTGTGCTCCATGGCTCTGAGAGGGTCAGCGCAGTCTTCCAATTTTATTTCTAAAATGTAACAAAAAAAAAGGAAGCGGACTGAATCAGTATACGTAACTCAAGGGATTCGTTTCAATGCCCACGTAGCTCATGGATCAACAAAGCAACGCCCGACACCGTATTTAATATGTATGCAAACGACATCGACAACCATACGGTGCAATGTTGTCCAGGCGTTGCGCAGCAGATATACGTTGCAATAACCAAAGTTCACGTTGTACCAGGTGCTTTGATATGTTTGCCTAACCTCGGAAATTGTGTTTTTAAATGGGCATTGCGTAGTGAGCGCCGTAAAAAGTCGCGGCACAAAGAAAGGGAAAGTCGCGGAGAGAAATAGCGCCTCAGTGGCCAGCGCGTGGATCGTGCGGTAAAGGAAAATTCGGAGTAGACAGCAGCGCCGCCGCATCGTCTCGAAAATGTGGCGCCTCTAGCGCTCCGATCAGCGATGTTGACAGCTGACGCCGGCGGCACACTTCACCGACCTCACCCTCTAGACACCATAGCAAACCATGGTCCATTTTGTGGAGGTTTTCACACAGCGTCAGCCCAGCCCTGTATGGATCTCAGTGCATTGGTTCCCAGTGTTCTACGATAACTTTTATGAATTCGCTTGCTCCATGATCCATGCTGTGGGCACATCAAGTGAATGAGCGGTTGATGACTGCACTCAAAGCATGGCCGCGCGTAAAAGTATCATACCTGGAGGCTTCCGTGACCGTGTGTTGTTTCTGCTCATGATGTGCGGCATTCCCGTCATCGTGTTTTTCAACTTTTGCTTCGTCGCACCCAGGTTCGTCGGTACAGCCAACGCCGGCGTTTCGGGGGGGCGTGAAATGTTCAACACTCCACCGTCTCGCGTTCTCTTGTAGTACACCTGTTCATTGTAAAATGGTAGTTCCTTCCTTGACACTTTTAGTAGTTGGATGCATGCATGTCAAATAGCATATTGGGCAATTATTTTGTTTCGAAAGGAAGGCCTGCGTGTACTAACATGTATTTGCTGCTGAGCCTTCCTTTATTGTGCCCAGGTACCACGACACGTTCAACAAGTTCATGTGGATGCACACTGCTTCGGCTGCATTTATCACGTTCAACATATACGCCAACCTGTTCAAGCTCCTGCAGACTGACACCAGTGCGCACCACGTAGCGGACGACGTACTGTTGCCTGGCTGGCGTTACTGTCCGGTGTGCGCGATGAATGTGCCGCCCCGCTCGCATCACTGCAGCGTGTGCAAAGAGTGCATACTCAAACACGACCACCACTGCATGTTCACTGGCCGCTGCATTGGCTACTACAACCAGCGATACTTCGTGGTCGCTCTCTTCTACATGACGGCCGGTAAGCTTTTCAGCACTGTTCTCCCGAAAATTCGCAAATCCGAAGCCACCATAGGCGGAGGGTATTCAATAAAGGGGCTAGAAGGTTTTCCAGCCTCTATAGCATTCACTGTGTGTGTGTGTGTGTGTGTGTGTGTGTGTGTGTGTGTGTGTGTGTGTGTGTGTGTGTGTGTGTGTGTGTGTGTGTGTGTGTGTGTGTGTGTTTGTGTGTGCGTGCGTGCGTGCGTGCGTGCCAAAAACAAAGGTACCACAATATCTATCATGATCTCGAGCGGGAGATTCTAGATTAATTTTTCATTTACACAAAGGCATCGATCAACCTCAACGCGTAGCTCAAAGTGAAAAATGAGGCTTGGGACTCACTGACTGCTTTGCATAAAATGTATAAATTGATTTCCATAGTGCATGGCATCTGATGAATTTTTCATTGTTTTGCTTTGCTTACTTTGCTGAAAAATGCACAAAACAGGACAGAGTGGGCTCATGCTGGCATTATGCTAGGGAATTCCACTTAAGATACTCAAAAATAGTTCTCGGATGTTAGAATAAACTATAGACAGATACAACTTAGTCAGGGAAGGCCTCACCCAGATGGCCGAAGCCTGGCAGCGTTTCCTTCTCAAGGGGGATGCACACAAACCTGCTTCAATGGATGTGTACTCCAGACTGACGTCATGATGGCCTGTTGACAGCCGTCTGCATAGTACATTGCCGAGAGCAAGAGCTCGTCTATTTATTTAGTAGTTAATGTGATCAGATGCCAAGCTTCGGTCGTCTGGGCGATGCCTCCCCTGACTTCTAGTTACATCTATAGTCGCCTTGTGCAGAACCGCATTCATGAATTTTTCTTCCATAAGGCTGATTTCTGGATGTATATATGACTTCTTTTTGGTGAGTAAACTAATAGTAAACCCTTTGCTGAACAATAAAAAAAGCATACCATCTTTTTTTAGCACATTTATAAGCAGGCATGTCGAAGGTTACAGGATTTGTAGACAACCAAAGAAATTACACTTTTATTATTGGCGAGGAAGTTTGCATAAAAGCATTCACCGACTGTCCATTTCAAGAACACTGTATCCTCAGAAGCAATTTTGTTTTCTGAAGAGCGATTGCTACCTGGTTCAAGACTTGTTTTAAAGGAGCTGTCTACCACTTGAAAAAAATATTTTTGATTTGGGTGGAAATGAGATTCCTTGTCACATCGGTGGTAACAAACACGCTTTTGTGCCAATAAAAAAGAGAATTGTTCATTGAATTTTGTTTTGAAAGTCGTGAAAGTATGACAGGTAGTGTCACCCTAGCAATGGCAGTTGAAGCTATTGGTGGGAACAAAAAAACCCCACAAATAGGCTTACCTTGCTTGATAACAAATATGTGTTGCCTAAAATCATATTTTATGAATTTTTTTCGTAGCTTTTCATGGTGCCAGAGAGTAATGTTAGCTTTTTTTCTTCTCGCACATTGAGAAAGTAACCCAGTACAGCTGCCAGCACTGCGTTCAGCAGCGTGTGTACTGTGGAAAGAACTGAGCACAGTGTCCATTGCTACTCATAATAAAAAAAAAATGTCTCAAGTGAATAAAACCACGATTGGCTTCACGCACTTTTCAAGCCATGAGCATCAGTTCTCTTTCGTAAAAGTGTGTTCCAGTATTCACTGATGCTAAAAGCAGCTTCACAACATGGTCAACTTTCATGGGTCTCATACACTGAAGAAGATTTTGCCTTTAGGTTTCACTACGCCAAGGTGCCCGTGCTGGCTGTCATGTCGCATATGCAACTCGGAACACCTAAATTAAAACTGAAAACCAGCATAGACTTCCTCTTCTGTGAAGTCGTTTCAGTAGCATGTTTGGCGTGAGTGGAATCATCGCAGATCATTTCACAACACCTGTGTACCATTGTTGTAGGAATGCATCAAGTTTTTCACTTGATTGTGGTGGTTTTTCAGGATAATTAACCAAAAGCTTGAAAGAATGTGGTTTCGATACTTTATTTGGCAGTTTAGGAGCTATAAGCTATTATTGCAGTTATTGTTGTAATGTTTAACAAAACCTAATTCAGCCTGCGAAAACTGCATGTGGTTTTCACTGACTTTCACTTGCACAATCATTGTCATGCATGCAACCATTGTTGGGGTATTTCACAACAATAAAAGATGACAATGTAGGTTGAAAAATTCCTATTTTAAGAACTTCTGCTCACTTTCCGGAGAAATTGCTGTAGGGTTAGACCAGACGGTATGCTTTCTATGGCGACTCAAAACAGAAAACAATAGTTGACAGTCCTTTTAACTTGTCATAGTTGGTCACTTCAGTTTTTCGGGAACATAACATAATTTGCACTCACAAATTCGTTTCAGGAGTATTTTAGTATCTTCCACTGAATGTTCACCTTGTCACTAGATCGTTGTCTAGGCTTCAAAAGCCTGGAAAAAATTAAAATAAAAGAAGTGGGAAAAAAGAGACCTCTATGAAATAGCTGCCAGCCGGAGCCTCCAACTGTCCATTGTCAATGGACAGAGATCCTCGATATGCCCTTTAAAGGGGCCCTCCAGCACTTTTGAAGCACCTATTTTTTGTATGTGTTTTGCATAGACCGATGGCCGGGCATAATTTTAGCATAGGTACAAGCACCAATATCAAATCATTTAGTATTTTGATCGTGCAATAAAGCCACCTCATTGCTGCCGACCGCGTCGGCGCACAGTGGCGCTCGCTAGAACTACGCAGGCGGAAATGACGAGGATGAGCGCAGCCTATCACAGGACGCGTAAAGCCTCGCTCCGAAGCAAAAGGACCTGTTTGAGTTCTGACAAGTCGGGGAGGCTCATTTCTACTAGCCTCACCCAGCTCTTCAAACGCATAAATAAAACGGCGTGGTCAGGCACCACATTGCCTGTTGCTATAGCAACAGCGTCATAAACACATTTGACTGAACCGGCAACAATAGTGTAAGAGCTTCCTCTATGTAAGAGCTTTCAGCCCAGTGTCGTTGGAGGCCCCCTGCAACGTCATAGCAGAGAGTGAAATGTGGTCATGTCACCCCGCGAAATTCGAGTTGAGTGTAGGCATCCTTTTTCTTGTATTTTGAATTTTTAAATTGAATAACTTGGTACTGCGTGCCGCTATCGCTGCCGCTCTTGCTGCACTAATTTGTCCGTGCGTCAGTCTATGCAGTCCATCAGTAAAAAATGGGGGGGGTTGAAAAGTGTTAAAGGGCCCCTTCAAAAAATATCCCAGGCCAATACCAAGTGGAGCTTTGCCCCCACTAAGCTGTCCAAGAGAGGGGCGAAGACACGCATAAGCACTTATTCATATCTGGTCACCATATAATGCTGTAATGATCCCTGATGTGTAAAAATATTACTAGCAAAAATATGTGTATATGATGCTTCTGCAGGCCTGTGAAAAACAAAAAGGTGGGCCAGTTTTTCTTTTTTAGACAACCCCATTTATTCCTGCTTTACAGATTTCTGACATCTTGAGGTGGCCATGTTCATACAGGTTCACGTTACCATTCACAGCACAAATGCTCATGCAAACTTTCTTATTGTTTGCACTGTGAAGTTGTTGAACATACTACTTGCATTGAAAAAGCAGTGCTCACATGCACTGTGCACGAGTTAGGGGATGTTGAATGTTTTGCACGTAATTTGCTTTTCTTTTCTAAAAGGAAACCTGCTTTGCTATCTATACTAGCCAGAATTTGTTATTTGATGCTAAAAAAAAGTGTTTCGTTTTCTGTCCATAACCTGCTCCAAATTTGTGCTTCAAAAGCAGCATACTGCTGCTTCAAAAACGGCTCCAAATTCTATTCAGCCTGTTGCACCACTGTCTATTGAAACAGACATTCAGGCCACCGCTAAATGCAAGAAATATGGATTGCTTGCATTTCTTAGTTTTAAAATTGAATAAACAGGAGAATTGTGCTTGTATGTGCAAAGCAGCTCATACTGGCCGCTACCCTATATTTTTATTCAGATCAGCCTGCCAGCTACAAAGCACTAGTGGGAAGTATTTCAAATAAAAACTGAACTGTACTGAACATTGAAATTTGACAACCTGCAAAAAAAAAAATCAACCTTTTTCACTGAGAGCAAAGGTTGGCAAGATTTTCGGGTTTTCCGGGCTTGGGGATGAGCACCATTTTTGCATCACGCCATATGCTCACACGACATTACAATTTGGGTGTGCGATGGAAGAGGGAGAGGGAGGAGGCTTATGCCACTGAATATTGCCGGAGTTATAATAAATTTGTTACCACCACCACCTTTTTCACTGTACTCTAAAAAATAGCTATGCAGACCATTTCACTTGAAAAGTGATTGCAACAAAAAAGAAACAACCATTGAAAAAACCAGAGTTCTTATATTTAGACTGCTTGGTGCATGTTTATAGAAAACGAGAAACAGTACATTTTATGGTTCAGAAACGGTCTAACTGCCTACTTACTGTGAAAGCTTTATTGTGCATTAGGCAGTATATATACACTCTTTAATGATGTGACAGAAAGGAAAACAGTTTCAAATTGAGACATGTGATGAGGTATTTGTGTTTACAATTCTATGTACTGCCTTTTGCAGGCCTCTTGTACAGCCTCTGGTACAAGTGTCCCTATGTGCTTGAAATGCTTGGCGGCCTCAACCTGGTGACATTGTTACACATGGTGGCACCCCATTTCGGCCTTCTGCTTGGTCTTGTCGATGGTTGGCTGTTCGTGTGCACTCTGCTGAACCTTGTGGAGTTAGTGGTGTTCTTCTTGTGTGCTTACCTGCTGGCAGTGGAGCTCATCTGTATGGCCAGAAACCAAACCACCTATGAAAAGAGCCACGGCATCCGCACCTACGGTCGAGGCCTTGGAAGAAACCTTAAAGAGGCGCTGGGTGCCTCATGGTTCCTTGTCTGGCTGTCGCCTTGGGTCCGTTCCCCAGTTCCTGGAGACTTTGATGGTCATGCGGTGTGTGTGGAAAAAAAAGATCTGTGATCTGTGTAGCTACTGCACAGGTTTTATTTATTAGTTCAACCAAGAAAAGCTCGTAGTCAGGATCACACAAGCATTAACTTCCAGCATTGTTTCATTGTTGAAGGTTGCAATCGATAACTGAATTTGCAATCATTGCAAGGCAAAGCAAAGAAAGCATGCAAACATGTTCACTGTCTTTACACAAGCTATCATAGCCAAGTGCCACAGTTCCTCAAAATATCATACACAAATCGCTATGAAGTAATGTCGAAAGTTAATGACCGTATGTGCTCCAGCCTGTAAATTGTTTTAAAGAGTTAGAATTAATGGTTACGTTTGCAGCAACGACTATTTAAAGGATGCTCATGCACAGTGAGCCCAGATGGGCTTTGGTGTTGTCCAGCCTTGTGTCTGTCCTCCATTATGTGTGCAATTACTAAAAAAAGGATGGGATATATGAGAGCCATTTTGTCGGCCAATTTTTTGTTGGTAAATATGTGCCTGAGTTCACTCACTGCGCCACGTGAGTACTTGTAATACAATCTTAAAGGCATGTGTGACTCGTAGCTATGTATATTAACGAGGAACTTTGCTTAATATTTATGTGTTTATGTACGAAGGCTTGTGAAGTGGTCTGATTCTGCTGCAACTCACGCAGGCTGAGCTATTCCCTTCCCTAAAGAGAGCAATTTATGTTATATGATGGAACATTTTTCATTCACATTATGTGGCTCGTAGCCAATGTATATTAGCGAGGAACGTTACATATATTTGTGTGTTTACGTACAAAGGCTCGTCTTGTTCTGCTGCTACTCAAGCAGGCTGAGCTATTCCCTCCCTAAAAAGAGCACTTTATGTTAGATAATAGAAAATTTTTTATTCAGATTATGCTAAACATTTCACGATCTCTCTTCATGCTAATGTTCGAAGGCAGATAATGACAGCTAATTTATTTTATGTTGCACCACCTGAATGCTACTGTCCTTGTGACCTGCTATGTTGAGTTTCCCGGTTGCCAACATAAGTGTCTGCTATGTAGGCACTTTCACTTCACCTTGAAAAATGTATCTTCATAAGTTAGTACTAATCTGTGCTTTTGAAGTATGCTTATGTCAATAATTAAGGGACAACAACGTGTCACAACAGGATTTGAAGAATGTAAAGGAAGAACTTGTAGAAGTCATTAAACCTTATTGCACAACACCTGTCCATTTTAATGTAAACATCTTATTGTAGGCCTATTATGTAATAGTAAGTTATCTAAGCACATTTTGAAGCTTGTGGGACATGATGTTTTCAGTTTATTTTAAAATTTCCACTACTTGGCTGCGGCACCCTGTTGTTTAAGATGCAGCTGTTTCTGCTCGGCTGTCTGTGCCTTTTCGTATGCCATTTCATGCTCTGGTACGTAGTTATAGCCTTTCAAAGAAAAAGTTGTAGTACTCCATGAAATACGGAGAATTACAGAACGAAAAAAAGCATCAATGCAAGTTAGGGAATCAATACACCAAGTGTTTCTCTTTTGTGGAGCACAGGGATAAGATTCAGTTGGATATTAAAAATGAACTAGGGAAAAAATAATGTGCTTCTGATCTCTTAAAAATGATTGTGCCACTTAAAAAAAAAAGTCCCAAGCTACAGGCACGGTAAATTTTCGATGCATTGAATCTTTTTATTACATGCACATTTCTTTCAAATCGTTAAAGCCATTTATCTCAAAACAATTTTTTGCATTCTACAGCTTCACAAACAATAACTTTTCTTTTAATATATATGTTCATAAAATATCGCATGCTAATATTTTAAAGATGTATCTGTGCATTCAAGCAAAATGATTGAATACGAGCGCTAACTTTTTATACTATGGCAAATTTCGTGCAAAAAAAAAAAAAACCTATTGAAATATCAACATCAGTCGTCAGGGAATGGCTGCCATAGTGGTGCAGTTGGTAGAGCATCATATGCATTTTTCAAAGGTCACAGGTTCTGTCTCTGCCAGTGATAAATTATCTTTTCGGACACTTTACTTTCTTTGCATTTACATATTAACCGCTTCAAATAACAGTTCCTATATCTTCCTTTGCTTTCTTGTCTTTTAGGTCTCAATAATGTTATAGTAATTATTGTAGCTCGAAAAAACATGGACAGAGGAAGGACACTAGAAGTACTAATTCACAACTGGCCCATTGGGTCACCCCATGAGAAACCAGTAAACTGTGTGATGTGCGTGTTTGTGTGCATTCTCTCCGTGCTGTCTCTCTTTCTTTATCTTTAAAACTCTCTCTCATGTGTAGGGTAGCATACAGGTCCTTCTAGACTGGTTAACCTCCCTGCCTTTCCTTTCGCTCTTGTTTCTTCCTTTGAAAGTAGCCAAGCAATCACATGCGCAGAAGTACGTCACGGCAGAGAAAAAGAAAACTCAAAACGGCTTGTCTTGCAACAAAAAGAGCCAGTTGATGTATGGCTGACCCAGTTAGTGCCACTTTTTCCTGATGTGATGTGCTTCCAACAGTTCATGTGCTGTAGTCTGATTGCTTATGACCAGATTTTCAAGCTCGCAAAATTGCGTCTGATACTTTCAAGGTCATATAATGTGAAGGCAGATGTACATTGCCTTTATTAGTGGTAGACGGTTCATGCTCAATTGTTAACACTATGATCAGTTTGATCTGCGGAGGCTCTCAGATCAACGGTGTCATAAACAATCCCAGTAGCGAATTCAACAAACGGTTCGGTTTGCTTTATTACAAAAAATTTTCAATCGGAGGCCGACGAGTTGGAACTGCACCAAAAGAACATCGGTGCACCATAACTAGCAGCAGACGTCTTGGAATTGTGGGCCATGATACTACTTCAGTGGTCGTTAATTTTCAGGCTCCTGGGCAGGCTATTTGTCTTGGGTGCTTCGCCTTCTTGAGGAGAGCTGCTGAGACAGCTTCAAAACCCAGGCATGGATAGCTTGTTATAACCAGCTTTGTCACTTGTTTATCAAAACTGGCCCACCTCGTATGGGGTCAGGACTTCATGAGCATGGATTCTAGGCAAAATTTGGCAGTTCCTTATTTTGCAAGTTTTGAATGGACAGAGTTGTATAGCATGAATGCTTCTGCTCTTCTGGGCTATAGGACCAACAGATGTCCTTACTGAAGGAATTTCAATTGGATTGAGTCATGGGAAGTGATCTCCGGTGTAAACAGCATGCCCATCCTATAGTGCTGAGAAGTGGCTAAAATCTGTTCCACAGAACGGCTGAACCTTAAAGACACAGTTTGTCAATATAGCTAAGCAAATTATCATGTTTAAAACTTTCCAGAAAAGTTTTGGCACTAGCAGGCAGTAATTCACCATCACTAACGAACGAAAAGTATGGCGGAGCATCGGGGCGATGCAAGATTTGGTAGAAATGTCCTTGCTTTGCTAGTACACATCAAAACGAATGAAAGTGGATTGAAGATACAACTCCGCCAATGCCGTCATCAAATATACCCTGCTTGTTGAAACAGAATGAGAGAAATGATATGTTTTATGGTATTACTTCATTTCAAAGTAAAACTAAGATTATCAATTTTCGGTTCAAGGTAAAATTAGGCAATCCAGAACAACCGAGGTCGGGCAGCATGCGCGTAAGCCAGGCTTGTACAGTCACGCTTATTATGACTCGCAACATGGGAGCGCATTGCCTCACGAGTTCAAAGATTGCGCATGGCTCCCACTAGCCTTTGTTTCCATTATTATATTTCTCTTTGATGTCAATATATGAATTTAAAATAAACAACGTTACGAGGTGGACCTAAATTATGCCATACATCACTTCCATGTCATGATTAGGATGTTGGGATGTGTCATTTACCTTCGTTGTTTGTTCATGTCAGGTAATACCTTATTTTGTATATGTGGAGCTAGCGAAACGGCCACGAGCATGCTTATGAGCATAGCATGTAGTCATGTTTACGTAACATGCATATAATGATTATTATGTTTGGACGTGTCATTTACCTTCGTTGTCTATTCACGTCACGTGATGGCAAGTTTGATATAAGTAGAGCTAGTGAAATGGCTGCGAGCACGCTATGAGTGTAGTATGTAGTCATGTTTTACATGACACACATATTAGAATTATCATGTTTGGGTGTGGCATCTTCGTCGTCTATTCACAACAAGTAATACTAAATTTGGTATATGTGGAGCTAGCTAAACAACCACGAGCATGCTGTGATCGTGGCATGTGATAATGTTTTACATGACACTCATGTCATGATTATCATGTTTGCACCACTCACGTACATTTGCCATCCATTCACGTCCCATAATACCAAATTTGGTGTATGTGACTTTAGCGAAACGACCGCGAGCACACCATGATTGTGGCGTGCAGTCATGACTTGTCATAACATGAAAATCATGATATGCATATCATTATTTCCACGTTAAGTTCTGTCACTTATGTTCGCTATGCAGTCATGTCATACTATATCAATTTTGCAAAATGTCATGTGAACGAAACACCACAAGCACAGCAAAACCATGAAATGTAAATCATGACAGTCGTGACCTACATAGCATGATTTTGATGTTATGACTAGCCAATTATACTCTTCATACAGTCATTTTATGTCATACCAATTTTGGTAGCGATACCATTATTGAAAGGGGCCAGGAGAGCTAATAGTTGTAGGCGGCTAGATAGATAGATAGCTAGACAGCAGACAGACAGACACAGACAGACAGACAAGGTGAGACAGAAATGGTCTCACCTTCATGGAGAAAAGAGGGGGAAACTTAGACATGACTGCTTGCCAAAATGGCGGTTTAAGCACAATATTTTTGTCCTATCTACCCAGTTTTGTGAAAATGTCCGTTTCTCCACTTCTTGTTCAAAGTACTAATTGTACATATTTTGCGGGCGAGCTACAACTTGATGAGGTCTGGTATACAAATAGTTGCTTGTATAGCAGAAAAAATAAATAAATCTGTGTTTGGACTGGGCGTACCTCAATACTCGGATGTTGCGGGCCATGATTCATGTGACGCAGCTCTTTCGTACCTGCTCAAATTATCGAACTGAGCACCTTGAGTTTGAGAGCAAAGTTTATGTTGGTTCAGATATTCATAAAGATCTCAAGTTCGTAAGGATACAACGTTAATGGTGTTTACAGTAGTTTCGAAGCAGTTAAGGTGCTGAAACTAATGTTTCGTGGGCTGAAGAATCTTTCTACGCCACTGTCGAATGCCCCGAAAAAGCCCTTGTAAAGGTAAGCTTCGCTTCTCATACTTACTGGACGTTACCAATCGAACACCGCCATCGGAGGAGTAGCTGCCCCCCTAATACTACTGCCTGCCTCCCATTGCCCCCCCCTCCCCCCCACAAAACATGCTCGAAACACAGAATAAGTTCCCCAAATACCTGCCCCCCCTCCCCCCCGAATGAACTCGCTTGAAGTGGGTTCTCCACCCGCCCAATAAAAAATATCCTCTTGTCGCCCCCGTAACCAATTAACCTTAATTTCGTAATTGTTCCTTCGCATAACATGACAAGAATTTTAGTGTAGTCCTGAGTAAATGATATTTAGTGAAACTGAAGCCCCCCTTCCTAAATCAATTCGGTGATGCCGCCCTCGAGGAAATTGAAAACGAAGTTCCGTCTGCATGGAATTGAGTGTAAATAAAAAAAAATAGTGGTTCACTTTGTCGCGAATATGTGCTGTACTCTGGCGCATCACTAACTTGTGAGATGTAAATATTTGCACTGAACTTCATTTATGATTCTACCAAGGACCTCTGATGGCAAGGTACAGACTTGCACATTCGCAGCTGATCTCTTCCATTGCCTGGGACAAACATGTGAATGTTTTTTTTTATAGCCTAACCACATGTAATCCCTAACCACATGTATGCGTTACAACGCGTCCGCGTGTGTGGCGTGTGGATTTGGTGTCGCATCGTGTTCATATATGAAGGAACAGGGCGCACATGGAAAGCGTGCACGCTGTGCAAGCCCTAAAAGCGTCGTAACGCGTACGTGAGGCCAGAACTGCGCCGTGGTAGTCGGCACACGCCAAATATTCCAAGCAAGTGCACTGGCTGATCCAGCAGGGCAGGCGATCTCGCGGTGACCGATTCGGGTGTAAGCGCGCGCACTTCAATTTCATTGTTTCTATCTCTCTAATGCTCCATCGAAAACTGAGACATCATGCGATCCCGAATACTTTAAAAAATGCAGCTGAGCCCAAACTGGCAGGAATGACCCGTGCGCCTAGAACCAGGAACACTATTTAGAACACATGACAGGAGTATGTAACTTCAATTAAAATCACTCGCCACCGCTACTCTCTCACCTCACTCCTAATATGCCCCCCCCCCCCCCCCAACCTGTCCCACTTCTTCGATAGCAATGGAAGATCTTGCTTGGAAGTCCCGCCCTAAAAGACCAGCTGCTGCTCGTTACGAGGGGCTATGCGGCGAGAAACGCATTTGGATTACATGAAGAGGAGACCGCTTCCTTCCGGTGCATTCGTCGAAGAGCTCATTAATAAACTTTTTCATTCCCTCGTTTAAATATATAGCGGCGTATTCCGGACAGCACACGAGCTTGCGATACACCGTATAGACGTCACCGTGTCAAAGACG